GTAACGCATGTTAAATAATTTTCTCCTCATTTGAATTATCAAATTGGAAAATCAAGGCATAAACAAAATAGAACCCTTGAAGAATGAATTAGGTCCGTTATCTTCAAACTTTCTCAAGACATAAACGAGAAAAATGGCAAAAAAAAAAAAAAAAAAAGGGATTAAGAACACCAAACAAGACATTTTTTTTATCGTACCATCTTGAACATTATAGAAAATATCAATAATGATGTACAACATACTTATATACGTACTACAACCCTAAAGGTCCTAATGAAGCGCAACTGCACAAGTAAAGAAATGTTACATAATTTATGCTGAACCGTTACAAAGTTAACATCGAGGTCCTGTCAACTAATCCATCTTCTAAAAATTAAACATCATTCCACCTATCATAAACCAAAAAAAAAAAGGTTAAAGGTACATGCCTTTTTGTCACTAGTTTCATCATGCTATTTTAACAAACAAGTTCATGTATCGTGAGAGTATGAGACAACAGTAAGTCCTTAACGAGTTTTGAATCGAGGAACAAAAACGTTTGAGAATCGTTGAACATATAAATATGTGTTCTCAGATGATCAAATGACGAAGTAGGAGAGATAATATTTAACCAAATATTATAAAAATAGGGGCACTTCCTTTGGGTTTAGGGCTGGGGTGGTCTCTTCCTTGTGGATTGGTGTGCTGTTTCCATTGGGAAAACTGCTACGTGAAAATCAAAGAGAGAATCAGAGCTCTTGTAGAGAAGAAGACCCAATTGAAGAAGTGGAAAGAAAGAAAGGCCAGCTTCTTAATAATTTACAAATTAGGGTTTTTGTTTCTTCATAATTAGAACCAACCGACAGAGTGTGTCAGATTGGAGACTGAAGAAGGAAAGGACAGGGGAATTAGTTTTGTCAGCTAATTAGGGTTTTGTTGGAAAGGTAACAAAAAAAAAGTTTAAAACGCCCAATTAAAAGAAACCAAGTAACCAACGAGGAAAGAAGAAGAATCAATCCCAGTCAGTAATCAGTCAGTAATAATAATAATAATTATTATTATTATTATTAAACAATGACCAAACATTTGAACTTTAACGGCACGCAGGTTGAATTCAATAACCCTGTTGGTAATTATTAGTTAATTAATTAATATTGTTTGATACTATTGGTCTTGTAATGCACAACTGTTAAATAGTAATCATGCTTCAAAGAGAGACGTTGGATTAGTACATTGGCAAGCATTTGAATGAGAGGTTTAGGGTTTTAAGTTGACTATTTCGGTTTGGTTTAAGATTTAGGTCGCATAATATTGACTATTGAAACTATGGTGGTGCTTGATAAGGAGAGATACAAATCCATTTTCCCGTTCCATTATCCAATAACCAATAGAGTTTTTCCCCCTTCTCCCTGATCTCATTCATAACGATCGAAATACAAATTAATCTCATTAGAGCAAATAACAAACAATATCAATAATTTGACATTCACACATCCGACAAATAAAGTCTCGTTCGTTTTCTCTTTACCGACCCTGTAGACTCTTTTGTTTCTAGACTTTTAGGGGACAAAGGCCACCTTTTAATCCCATCACCGACGATGAGGATCTGTTGCATACAATGGATCCACACCATAACTGACTGAGGCCACTTCGAGGAAGGAGAAAATAAGACTTGGACAAGGACTCGCGCCAATATGAGTACATAATCACTACGAGGAAAGAAAAAAAATCGATCGAATTCTCGCGACAAACCTAAAGAGTAAGAGTCACCATGACAAGACTTCAGCTTCTCCTACAATCGCGGATGAACAGAAGAAAGTGCCTGTATCGTATCACTTTCGTCTGGCGCTTGCCTATATGAAAAATTTCAAACAACTACCCCCTATCTATAATTTGGGGACAAAGATTCCACCACGGTGAATTTTCAATTGTATTACTATTTAATTAATTAGATTAGAGAAGTAAACTAGGGGCAACAATTTGAGAAACTCACCCTCCTTGATACGTGCAATATCTTGTGACCTTGATACTTGTAAATGTTTTCCCCTAACGTAAACTTGCTTTTCACTCATAATTAAATTGTGCTGTGCAACGCAATCTCAAAACTCTGGCCACTACTAGTTCAACCAAGTTGATTGAGCAATGCAATTATTATCATTTTTGTGTTCGTACCATGATATATCATATTTATTTCTCTACCTTCTTTTCCTACAAAATACTAATATTGCACTAAATATATATCGAGATAAATATGCAATAAAAAACGGTTAATATTTTCGTATGACCTGAACTTTGATCAAAATAAACATTCTGGTCAATCTTTTCGATCCTGACCCGAAATATACACCAAAATAAACAATTTGGCCAGATCCGACTTTTGACCGTTAACTTGGACGGTCAAATGCGTTGACCGTTAGTCAACGCGCCATATCACTGCCAAGTCAGCATAAAATAATTCACAATTTCCACACATTCCCTAATTTATATTATTATAAATTAAAAAAGTCATCTAATATCTTAGTTAAACCAAAAATAAAAAACGAAAAATATTAAATATTTATCAGATCTTCTGACTTGGCAGTGACGTGGCGCGTTGACTGTTAGTCAACGCATTTGACCGTCCAAGTTAACCGTCAAACATCGGGTTTGGTCAAATTGTTTATTTTGGTGTATAGTTCGGCCCAGGATGTTAAAAATCGAAAAGATTGGCCAATATATTTATTTTGGTCAAAATTCAGGCTATACGAAAAATAGTAACCTAAAAAAAACGTCATTTGTGACTAAGAGGTTAGAGGCTCTTGTAGTTTCTCCGTCTCCATTTTGACCATGACGCGGGGAGTTAAGACCGCCGGCCGGTACCCTGTTTTAACGGATTCAAAATTATGAGCTAAGCTCCTCCAAGGCTCCCAAGATACTTTTAATGATCATATCAACCCACTCCAATCCATCTTAGTGCTACAAAACAATGATGTCCAATTCAATCAAATCCACGATTCAAAAATCTTTGAATTGGACATGTTAAATTGAAGTGGGCCGGTCAGGATTATTGTCAAGGGAAAAACATGACAAAATGGCCGTGGACTATTGTTACCACATTCTTAAATTTGTAATCTCCGTTAATTAGCATGAAATATCTTCCAAAACCGAATGGTACTCGAGGTACTGTTAAGGTGTGTTCTCGTACGAATCGCGTGTTCAACCTCGTAGGACTTACTGTATGGCTCTCTTCATGTGGTACTTAGAACGGGTTCTTCAGACCTCAAACGCATCATAGTACGTCTAATACCGTAGTCCCGACTCATGACAAATCGAAAGGATGGGAATTCCCAGGGGGGTGAGATAGTTAACAGGCAGCACGATTGCCTTCACGAGACACACGGTTGATGCGAACCACCCAAAATCTATTTTAGAGGATAGAACGAGCATCACCTTATCATATTTCTAATACATGTGATCCTCCGCGTCGCTCTTGGTGATAATGTTGACAGCTGTCAAAGAATCCGTTTGCAACTCCATGCTCTTCGGAGGATACCGGCCATCATTAGTGCCTTTTTTTTCTTAATCAGTGAATATCATCTTTAAGGATTATTAGTCAATAATGGGGGTTGATTCACCTTACTTCACCGGATAGTTACAAACTTACGGTGAACAAAATTTACCGTACTTTCAAAGAATGATCTTTCGTCGTACAAAAAACTAACTAAATACAACATTAATCAAGCTCTCCATCTCAATGTAAAGTTGTTTAGAAAAAAAAGTTGCATTCAAGTCCCCATTTCAGTACAAACACATTAAACAAACTGATCAGAAACTGAGAAACTCAGAAGCATCTCATGTCACCTCACTGTTCTTTGTAGCTTTATAGCTCTATAGCTAATCAAAACCATGGTGGGGGTAAAAAAACAAAGAGGGAATTCTGTTTTGGCCCATGCCATTTTGGGGAGGCTGGTCTGGGTTGTTTGCATGTATCAGTACTTACTGTCCAATGGAAATTAGGAAACTAAACAATGAAATTTAATACTCCCTGTTAAAAGGGTTTCTGTGTAAGGACTAAGGTGTTGGTTAGGTTGGGGGGAATCATGAAATGAAGTGAAGTGGTGAGGCAGAATGGTTATGAGAAGGTCTAGTACACTGCATCATCCACCATTAATAAACTACACATTACATGTCCTCTGTTTTGTGGCAACAAGTTGGAATGAGAAAGATGAGTCAGATAGAAGTAGCGAAACAACGGACAGTGAATAGCAAAAAATTTGAATTCGGTTTCTTTCTTTAGTGGCGTTGTTTGATACGAAGTTTGAATTTGAGGTGGATTGGGAGTTTCCATCCGTCTGTTAATAATACTATGTCAGATTCGTATGATTGAACCATGTCATTTCCTTCAAATAGGTCGAAATATGGATTATAAACTAGACCAGAAGGTGACAGTGCAACTATGAAAATTTACCTCATTAAGAACTTTCACTAAGAAGAATTGCAACTATGAAAATTTACCTCATTAAGAACTTTCACTAAGAAGAATTGCGTTGAAAAGTAACAATAATTTCTCGTAACAGGGCAGAAAATGAAATTTGTTCCAATTGGTAGTGAAAGGAGGAAATCCTACACAAATCTGATACAACCCTTTTTTTTCTTTTTCTTCTTTTGCCTTCACGATGTTCTTGTGTTAACCTTGGTTTCGAAATGTGTTTGATGTTCTTTATCTATTTTGGTCATACTAGTTTCTAACTCCATCCATTTTCGAGTTGCAAATCAATACTCTAGTTAGTAATCAAATTAACATGTCTACTTGAAAAAAAACTATAACATAAAAATAAACATATGTTCCTTCGGAACATCCGATAAAATTGGATCAATAAACACATCCAACATTTGCAACACTCTTATTAGAAGCATACATATTTTAGCAAACATTATAAAGAAGGAAAGACACAAAACACCAAAAACAGAGTCTCACTCAAACACCAGCTTTCATTTGAAAACCTCTGTTCCTTTCTCATACCCGAGGTTGCACGCCTTTGGCCTTTACCTCTCCCTCTCCTCTCTCTCTCTTTCCCACTTGACAACCATAAAAGCCTCTCTCTCCCAAGTCCCACTTTCCATTGCCCAATTAAGCCCCAGAGAAAGAAACGAAAACAGAGAAAGATCGAAACTTTGATTGCCCCTGCCCCCTTCTTCTTCTCCCCCGAGCTCCAAACCAGCAGAAAAAAGAAGACTTTTGGTTTTGGCATTGTCGTCCTTATACGACCTCCAAAAAAACCCACCTTCCTTTCAGTTCGTTGCTGGCTTTTCAATACCCAGAAAAAAGGAGAAGAAGCCATAACAGAAAGGAGAAGCCAATAGGAAGAATGGGGTTCAGATTCTTCTGCTAAGGGTATGTTTGTTTGCTTGCTGTTCTGTTTTCACCTAAGCCCATTTCCCCTTGTGAATTTTTTTCGAATCAGAGAAGGGAAAGTGAAGTGGGTACCTCCTCTGACGCACAGTCTCACTTCCCTTTCAAACAAAAAAGGAAAGAGGGAAAACAAAAAATTTGACTGTCACTGATTCAATCCTCGCTCCACCATCCACAACAACAGCTCTCTGTTCTGTACCCAACAAACTCTCTGCAAAAAAAATTTCCCCCTTCTTCCTTCCTTTGTCCTTATTCCCAATTCTTCCTTCCCATTTCTCTGTGATTTCAAACCCCAGAAAGAGATTAGATACCCGCTTACTTGTTCTTCTTATCCCCACATGTGCTCTGTTCTTCACTGCTCTTCTTCTTCTCTCGTCCTTTCCACTCTCTGAGACTCTGTTTTTATTTTGGAGCTGAAAAGAATGGAGAGACCTTCAACGATAACCACGTTGACGACTAGAAGGTCGAAGTGGAAATACACACAGCCACCGCCGACTCCACGAATCCTGCACCTGCCTCGGAGGCCTCTTCGCCGGAAAGTTGCACCGCCGGCGGCTCCGGCGCCATCGAAACCGAAGGTGGACAGGAGAGGGAAGCTGGAGTCTCTGTTTGATCAGGAGAGGGAGTTCTCCAGAGGAGCTCTGCCAATTCTAATGGTGAGGGATGAAGTAGTGGGAATGGAGAAGAGGAGGGAGAGGGTTGAAGAGAGAGACAGCACGGTGACGGCAGCGGCGGCGGTGGTGGAGGATGAGAAGTGGAGGTTTCAGGCGGAGATGCTGAGGGCGGAGTGTAATGTGCTGAGGATGGAAAAGGAGATTGCTTTGAAGAAAGTGGAGAGGAGGAAGGTTAGGATGCAGAGGACTCTGCAGTCTGCTGTTCAAACTCTGCTCTCTGTAAGTCTCTCTTCTTCCTCTGTTTGGGAAAGTGAGAAAAATTGGAGCTTTGGAAGTGATCGGTTTGTATTATTTTTCCTTTTTTAAAAAACAGGGGAGGGAAAGGATTAGCAATGGGGAGAACGGAACAATTGAATTGGAAGAAGAAATTTTGCATTTGGCAGAGAAGATTGAGAAGCTACAGAGCAGATCAAGCACAAGGAGCAAAGAATCCAACTCCAACGGTGCCATCAAGAGCAGCAATTTCGACAAGCGAATTGCGCGGATTCAGGAAATGGCTGAAGCGAGCTTGTCGATCAGAAGCACTGATGCGGATTTCGTCTCACAAGCAAACTGCAATGTATATAAGTTCAACTCTTGAACCAGAACCTTTTTCTTTTGTGAACATTCTTTGGTGTTAGTTTGTTTGATTGTTCTTTGTATTGATTAAAAGGTCGTGCAGATTGAGATACTGAGGAGGAAAATGGAACGGTTATCGAGAGGAACATTGTTAGAGAGGATGGAAGACGAGTATGGATCGATGCTTTCGACGGCCAGCAACTCTGCAGCCAGCTCTGCCTCCAATTCCAAGAGGATTGAGCTTCCTAAAATGTCTATGGCTTCTGTTAGACATCCGTACAAGGTGAAATTTCTCATCACATTTGTTAGAAATCCATGTTTTCTGCAATCCTTGGTACGAAACTGCCCACCGAAGCGTCATAGATTTTGAATTATGGGAATATGCAAACATTGCAGGAGAAGAAGACCAGGGAAGAACAGCAGCAGCAGCAGCAAGCATGTACAGGAAGTTGCAAGGCGATCGTGAGGCGAGTGATGGAGCAAGTTAGAGCCGAGACAGAGCAATGGTCGCAAATGCAAGCGATGCTGGGGCAGGTTAGGGACGAGATGGAAGGGCTTCAAGCTTCGAGACAGTTCTGGGAAGATAGAGCACTCGAAGCTGATTCGAAGCTCCAGTCTCTACATTCATCTGTAAGCAAAAACAAACACTAAACTCCTATGAATTTTCTGAAAAAGTTTGTTAACTAAGCTTCTTTTGTTCGTTGGCAAAACAGGAACAAGAGTGGAGACAGAAAGCCGGTTGCTTGGAGGACAGATCGAAGGAGCTCGAAGAGCAAGTTTCCGAGCTTCAGAAGGAGATCGAGAGGCTAAAGAAGGAAACAACTAGAGATAATAGAGCCATCGGACGAAGAAATTTACCATTACAAACTCCCAGTGAGACAGAGAAGCGAGTTCTGGTATGCCGGATGAAGGAGAATCGACACCACGAGCACCAACAATTCAGGCTGAAGGACGCGTTGAGGGAAGAGAGAAGGAAGTCGATCTCAACAGGCATTGGTGGCGGCGGGCTCAAGAGATCACCATTCAAAGATGTTGGCAACTCAGTACCATTGCCATTGCCAAAGCAACCGTTGTGGCTGTAGAAAACCTTGCAAATGAAAGTCTTTTCTTTTCCATATGTGCATATACAAAAAGAAGATTAGTATTAGCAGAGCGCTTTTTTGCTCTTTCGGAGACCAATAACACAACATGTCAATGAGAAAACCAGTTTGCTCTCCCAAACAGGAGACTTAATCAAATCGAAATATCAAAGCCGAATAATAACATAGCTAAGGACTAATCCATACCGATCCCGAAAAAACCGAGAGAGTTTTCCTAAGTATTTACATATAGGTAGAACTTAGCTTGGTATCACAAGCTCCAAAGGTTAGGCTAGGAGCAGAGCTGTCCCATGTTGTCATTGGGAGAGAAATAGAACTACTACTATCACCGTGGTGCTGTTGTGGATAGCTAGTCAAGTGGTCATCGACGGCGACAACATGATCATCGTGATGATGATCATAGCTGATCAGCTGTCCATGCGACGGTCCCCAGAAGTCTTCGATTAGGCTCAAGTCATCGTCATCAAATGTTTGTTGCAGGGGATAATGGATTCTTCCGAAGTGACCGACATTCATCTCCACATGTGTCTGGTTAGCATAGTGAGTTGTTAACATCGACAAATTATCTACCGCCGCTGAGGGATCGTGGACGGTCTGGCCAACGATCGTAGCATCCTGAGGCTCGTCGTGATCAGCAGTACCATCAACATTGTCGGGCGAGAAGTCGCATGCCATGTCTAATTCCCTCTGCCGAGGAGTTCGTCTTAGACCGCCATTGCCAACTTTCTTGTAAATTCTGCACAGCACGTAGTCATCCAGCTGCACAAAATGTAGACCACAGAAAAGGATCATCAGCACATCGTCACAAATTCGGTCAAATTGTAAAATCAAGTAGCCGTTTGAGTAAACTGCTACTTGTTCTAATTAAATATAAGATCCAATCAAACAAAGGTAAATCACTACAAAAAATGGAATAATCAAGTAATTCCCCTCATCAACACAAGTCTTTAGCACGTGTTCATATTACCAAGAGACAAAAAGTTTTACCACGTGGTTGGAATTACTTTTTGAGATTCCGTACATAATTTATTGTTTATAGTACCTCTATGTTTCAGCCTTCCAAATTGGTAAAAATAACATAACCAATCATTTACCTTAATAACCATACAAAACAATCAACTATTTTCTCCATTTCTATTAAAAAAAATGTGTTCGTGTTGGGCTACTAAGGAAGTAATAACCCCTAAAGAAGCTAGGAAGCAATCATAATTACATACTAAACATACAAGCAAAATCGCGAATTGATCTTCTAGTATATAAATAAATTCTCATGTCGGCCTCGAGATTCGAACACACACAATTACTTACCCTCATGTCATCGGCTCCGCCGTTGTCAGCTCGCGGACGCGGCGCATTGTGCTCCTCGACGCGATACTCGTGCATGATCCAGTTGGTCTTGATCCCTCTCGGCGGCTTCCCTCTGTAGAAGACCAGAGCCTTCTTGTACCCAACCTTCGCCCCGCTCGCCCTTCTAACCGGCTTGTCCGCTCCGGTCGCCTTCCAGTACCCGTCTCCGGCAGCCCTGTTGGGCCGCTTCCCGTGCTTGTACTTCCTGTCCCTCGGCGTGAAGAAGTACCACTCGTTCTCCCCGCAGTTCCTGTACTTCTCTGTTTCCAAACGGTACCAAAATTTCATTCAGGCATTTCGTCGAACACTTGAACCGCAACAACAACAGAAATTTAAAAAGAAAGACATTGTAAATTTTTTTTACCGGCGAGTTCCTCGGGGTTGTACTTATAGAGATTGACCTCCACGATCTTGTTCACCGGGACGGGCTGGCCGAGCACTTTCCTGGCGAGGTAGTGCTCGACGAGCTCGTCGTCGTACGGGTTGAACCGGTAGCCGGGAGGGAACGAGTCGAAGTATTCGTGATCGACGAAATTGACATCCTCCAGCTCCCCGCCTTCGTCCTTGGGAAGCTCCACCGTCGCCGGTTCGGGCTTCGTGATCGCCGGCAGAGGTGAAAAGCTCTCCTCCGACGACGAACGTGTGAGTTCGGTGAGGGAGGACGGTGGCGATGGGGCTTCTTCCATCGGGAGTTTTTTCACAGAGAGTTTGAATTGTGGTGGGAGAGGTACGTAGTAGGAGTTTAACGTATTGGTTTAGGTCACGGTTTCTATAATATTTATATATTTTCACAATGAAAAATATTTCTCCTGAATTCAAAATTCTATTTGGATAACTGTTGAAATATTTTTATTTATTTATATATGTTAATCCTTCTTCAAATCGAAGTAAATCTGTGGTGATAACCACCAAAATATAATTGGTTGAGATGTTTTATTTAGATAATTAAACGATGCTTAGGTTACATAATTATACGAAATAATAGTATAGCCAACTAGCCATGCCATGCACGTAACGTAGTTTAAAGGGAACTTCATTGTAAGCCATGCATGCACATTCCAGCCGCCGGCGAGATCAACTGAACCGTCGGCGGGGAGTTTAATTAATCAAGAGACCTAATCAAATTTCTGGAATTAGTATACTCTACTAGTCAATCAATCTCTTACAAAGATACTTTACCGGTGTAGTGTTCATACGGAAACCATTAATCTTTTTTATGAATCAATACGTATATATTAACAAAGAACATTGATGTACAACGTGTGCAACATACAAAAATAAGAAGAAAAGAAACTTACAAAAGAAGAGAGAGAGAGAGAGAGAGAGAGGAGAGGGAAAAAAAAAACAAAGTTTTGTCTAATATGTTTCTCTCTTGTCACTAATGAAAAGGTTGATCACCATCCTCTCCACTCGCAGGTTTCGAAATCGAGACCCGCGAGTGTTACGATGGATCATTCGCTCATTCATAAATTATGCGCGAGTGTCGTCACGTTCAGCAGGGTGATCGTCACCATGCAACCGCTGTAATGAGGCGACACTCGCACCGAAAGAAACGAGAGATTGAACGAATGTTGTGTGATTCCCTCTCTCTCTCTCTCTCTCTCTCTCGTTCTTGGTGGAAGAAACACGAAGTAATAATGTATCAGATCAAGAACACAATTTGAGAGAGAAGGCGAAAAGGTCTAATTCGAGGTCCCGAAAGGGGTCTTATAATGGTGGTGGAATTCAGTTTCAGTACGGAAGCAATGGTTCCTTCGTTACTGCAGGTCTCTGTTAATAATTGCCATGCACGTTTCTTTTGTTAAATTAGCAGGTTCGTATAATTTGTTTTACGCCGGCGAGACTTGTGCGCGCAGAGAATCACTCAACCGCCTTTGACTAAATATTTTCCACGTTTGATTTTCCCATCCAGGAAACCGAGAGGGTAAAGAAAGAGGGGGGAGGGTCAAACTGAAATACCAATTAATTTGTTGAGGTGGGTTGGATATAAGAATGAGAATTTGTTAGTTAATTTGATTCAATTGTCATGTTTTATATAATAGATATTGGGTTGGACTCAAGATCATATTTAATTTTGATAATCTTTTATTTTGGTTTAGATTTGAATGGACTCCAATTTGTGTCGATTCTTTTTGCTCATATCCAAATATATATATATATATTTGAAACAAAATGATTGTACACACAAAAGACAATATCGACCATCTCATTAACTGTTTTCAACGTGGTTAAGATGCTTACTAGAAGGGTGGGGGAAAGGGAAAACGAGTGTCGTCCCTAGGATTCAAATCTGGGAGCTCCAGGCTGAAAATCAGAGGTACGACCACTCAGTCGCGACCTCGTTCGCACTTAGTTACTCCTTTAATGTTTGTGTTTCCAAATTCCACCTTTTCGGTTGTTTCATAATCAAAAAATTTGCATGTATCCATATTCATTTGAGTACCCAACACTATGTGTCCAATTTAAATTCAAACTAGAATAAAATTTTGAATATAAATCTACTTATAAACAAAATTATCCATAAATAAAATGAGTTTAGGCAATATTGGATTTTTTGTACATTCTAATTTTGGATTGACTATTGAGATTTGAGATTATTATATACCACTAATAATCTTGACCCGTCGGACTTTTCACTTTTGGGCTGAAACTATCTCATTCGAAACCTTCCCGCGCTTTCAGTTTCAAACTGGACCCCATGTTATATGGGCCAGAAGAGAATATAACAATTTTGCGCGGGGTTCAACCGGTAGCACTGTAGCAGTATTGTTTGCGCCATTGGTTCGAGATAACGGTCTCTATTCGACCACGACTCAGTTTCAATTCATTCTAACCAACTCCTAACAATAAATTGAATTGGTACGAAATCGGACCTAATCATTAAATTCAATGTCGATTTAAGTCGATTCGAACTTCGAATTTTCGAACTTCGAATTTTCGAACTCATTGCGTCATAGTAGTAGTTCAGCCAAGAGTGTACTGACTGATCAAGAGAGGAAGAAAAAGCACAAAGCAGGAGGACTAATTGATTTGATCAAGCCGCGGAATCCTGATAGTAATAGTAACGACTAACGAACAGACGGCATCATCAGAAGAAACAGAGAGCTACAACAATGACTGCTACACGTACAAAGGTAAAAACTCCTGAAGCTAAGGCCAGAGATTTCCAGACAAGTTCCCGATGATCTCTTCATTTTATTTGATTTGGCATTCTAGGCTGGCTGGAGGAGAGTAAGAGTAAGAACTGAGAAGAGGGGAGAGAGCTCTCTCACAAGTCGACAAACCCTTTCTCCTTCAAGCTTTCCACCGTCTCCTTGAGGCTCACCTCCAACGGGATGAACTCGATCCCCAGAGATTTCGCCTTTTCCTTGGAGACTTGATACGTCGGAACGTAAGGCTTGTCATCCGCACACCTGTAGAGAAGAGAGTAAGGATAATAATGTTAAAAGGGTTTGGTCCTTCAGCGAGTGATGATCAGAAGATTGAACTACGGGAGGGGAGGGGGGGACTCACTTTTCTGGGAGTTGGACGCTAGGGTAGAGCTTCTTCAAGGTGTTCACCACTTCGGAGTAGTGAGCAACTTTCTCAACCAAGCAGTATCTGCCGTTAGCGGATGGAGTCTCGAACGCCTTGATGTGTGCTTCGGCCACGTCTTTCACGTGTACCCAACCGAACGTTGCGTTTGGGAACGTTTGAGCTCCTGCATTTCCATTAGATGTGAGAAGCAAGATCAAATACGCTATTCCACTCTAGATAAACTGATGTCATTTTGTTTATGTTCATCTCTTGGTGTGATAGAAATCTTTCTAAAGCATGAATTCCATTATCTTTAGCCCTACCTTTCATTATGCTTAGAACAGCTGCAGCACTTGTGTTAAGAGTTGGCTGCAACAGCGGTCCGATGACCATTGCAGGGTTTATGGTGACCATGTCCATGCCTTTCTCCTTGGCAAGCTTCCACGCAGCATCCTCAGCTAGTGTCTTTGAGACCACATACCAAAGCTAAAAGTAGAAGAAAAAGAAAAGAATTCAATTCATTACTATCAAACCCACAATGCTTGGGAAAGGAGATTCTCAAAGGCACTAAATGAATCTCTTCCACGGAACCAATTGGGCAGGAAACATTCATTGGAGGCAATCAGTACTACCCAAAATGGAAAACCTTCAAGAGATAGACCAGTAAGGGAACATAAAAGGATAGCCAGAGCATCTTCCACACAACAATTTCTAGTCACCCAATGGAACGAGGAAGATGGCTTCCTTCTAATCTAGCAGGCACTGATACATCATCTAACCTTAGCTGTTTTCTAACCGATCAGAAACGTAAACATAACAATGTGCGACATCTAAATTCTCGCACAAGAAGGGGCCATACACTATCAACATTCATATGCAGCAATCAACTAATACTGCCACCCAGAAGCCATTACTATTTCTTCCAACAGTTCCAAGAGGAACATACACATGCAGTATCTACCTACAGAAGAAACAGTGCTCATAGATAAAGACTTATCACCAACACACACTGAATTCAGGTAGATTCTTGCTGGGAAGACACATAGGATAAAAACCACCCACCTTAGTTTCCCTGCAGAAGTCCGGGTTAGAAAACCACGTCTCATCAAGTACAACTTCCGGCGTCCGTGGTTTGCCGTTGTAAGCCACCGCTGCAATTGAAGACGTCAGGACAACTCGCTTGATCGACTGCGTCTTAGCACACGAATTGAGAACATTCAACGTTCCTTTCACCGCCGGATCAATCAATTCTTTCTGCAATTAAGGAAAAAAATCAGAAACTCTGGCACCCTAAAAACTCAACTACCACAGACAGAACAACAAGATCGAACCTAACAGTCACCAAAGGGAGGAAGAAAAAAATCAGAATGCAGAGAAATCCAACCTGAGGATCCTGGACGTCGTGGTAGAAAGGCGAAGCGGTGTGGAAGACGCCGTCGCAGCCCTGGACGACGGAATCGAACGAGCCTTCCTCGAGCAAGTTCGCCTTGAACAGCTGGAGCCGCTCGGAAGCTCCGTCGAGCGCGCGGAGGTGCTCGGTCTTCCTCGGATCGTCTGCAACAAATTACGACGCGAAATTTTTCACAAGCGGTGAGAAAGGGGGAAACGAAAGAGAGCATGCGAAATGGACGGAGAAATGAGGGAAGACAGAGAGGGGGGCGGACTTGGATCACGGACGGAGGCCCTGACGATGTAGCCGCGGGAGAGGAGGAGCTTGACGAGCCAGGAGGCGATGTAGCCGGAGGCTCCGGTGACGCAGACGGTTTTCCCGGCTCCGGTGGACATGATCGGCGTATGTTTGTCTCTTATCCTGTTTGTGAAGGTGAGATCTGAGGTACTGACGGGTGTTCTTTTGGGGGGTTTTTTATAGCTCTCGCCTCGCTCTCCGTTTGTACGGAACGGTGGTCTTTGTCGCGACGGAGGTGGGATTTTTGTCTGGGCCCGCATCGTCGGCTAGTATTTGGGCCCACGAGCAGGCCGATAATTGGTGTTTCCTTTTCTGTTCTTCTATATTTGGGTTAATTTACGTTTCGGCCCTTTGCCGTCTATCTTTGTTTGTTCGTTTCTTTTTCTTAGAAAATGACACGTGAAATGAGCTTCCAGGGGCGGAGCTACATTGTAGCTAGGGTGGGCCCCGGCCCCCCGGGATTGATCCCGGCCCCTAGGTTTTTAAAGATATTTCGTACAAATTTTAGAAGTAGAACATGTTCTGTAAATTATATGATCAAATAGTTATGTGGTCTAATGGTAGCCAAGCTTAACTTGTGTATTATAGCACATGGGTTCGATCCACATTGGTTACATAATTTTTTTTAATTATTTTCGGCCCCCCCGGTCTCGAAATCCTGGCTCCGCCCCTGTGAGCTTCCCACCATTTTTTCTTCTCCAAATATCAAAATGGGATGAATTTCGTTTTAATTTGATCAAAACATAGATATCAAAGAGAGTTAGGTGAAAGAAGGAAGACTGCAATTCCTTGATCAAAGAATGGTCCATTCCTTGGAGTAGGGGGAAAAATGATCTTGATAGATAATGAGCCACAAGATTGTCAAGTACGCCTCATAATGCGTGTAATCGTCAAGTAATGCAGGTGTTTGTTCATGACATTTTTTTATCAGGTGTTTGGCTTTGCGAGAGTCAATATTCATAATTTTTTTTTAAACTTCTAACACTTCGAGTAATCTTAAATTCACTCATGATTCCAGTCAATATTACACAGACAGTACCTCATTAGATGTTAATTAACGATCGCAAGTATCAACTTCGATAAGCATCGCAACTAAGAGTGTTGCTGCGAGGTTTGCATACTATTGCACTCTGATTTCTAGGCGTAGTTTCAACCCAACCTACTAATCTATCCTTCTCAGAAACACAATCAAACACGATGGGTTCGTTTAGCAATGGTTTTGTATCATACATAGACTTCTTTAGTGATAATTATTACTTAGTAGTCGGTTAGTGTTACATGGGGTCCTAAACTCCAAATAAGTCTCCATTATTACGACAAAGTTGGTTCGATTGAGAAAAGTTGAGTCACTGCTTGCGCAGGCCAGCTGGAGGAATCCAAAATGGAAACTGGGAGCTGCAAAAAGTTTCAGTGCTGTTGAATGATAGCTTTTGGACTCTCATGGACGACGGCACTCGACAGCGTAGCAGCCTTTGCTTCTTCGCAAGACGCGGAATAAAATCGAATCGGAATATACTCGATCTGTTCGATATTGAAATGGTTTCGATATAATTCGGTTTGTGGTGTAGATCGAATCGAATTGCCCACTCTATAGGCAACCCATTGAACCGAAGATTCAACTGTAATTATATTGGGCTGAAGGTGTAGAGGAGGATTCCACGAACAACCCTTATGGTAGCTTTATAGATGAACCTATGCCGGGCTTGTTGTGTTTGGGCCTTTGGGCAACCACTTCACAGTTCAAAACTTTATAACCTCACACAGTCACACTGTCACACACAATACCAAATCGAGAAGGCAAAATATTTAACGAAACATGTGTCGATCACGTGTACAGAGAGACCAATTTTGCAGCCGACTACTTGGCGAATCTCGGCCATGATTTCCATTTTGGTACACACAATCTCAATGTGCGAGATTCTGGTTTAGTTCAATGGCTTTGTCATGATGTATTGGGAACATCCCATGAACGTTTAGTTAATATGATATAGACGCAATTTGCGTCACTCTTTCTAAAAAAAAAAAAGAGAATTTCGTTATTGGCAGTTGAATCAGATTCGCCATGGACCAGCGGGGATGGAGCCGAATATCCGAAACGGAGCCCAGGCCCGCAGAAGATGACCCGCACGCGCGCCCCACCCACTCGCCTAACTGTTTCACTCTCTCACCAACCCTTCATAACATGGCCAGAAGCCTTCACCCGCTCCATCGGATCGTGCGCTTCACGCTCTCCTTCCCACATTTGTTTGGATCAATTACATAATCGGTCACCTAACTTTGAGGTTACCAACAAACTGCGATCGTTTTTTTCATTTACACTCTAACTCCTTATGAACCTGTCATTTAAGTATTTAACTTTCTTATAACTAATAGGATGACCATTTTGGTTGCCTTTGTCATAATTTAATATCCCGACTCAACGAAAAATATATTAAGATACTACACAAATAAACTCCGTCCCTAATAAGTAGCCATGACAAACCTGAATCGGACATACACATACTCCATTCGACTTGAGTATTACCAAAACTTGAACATTACTCAAGGCCTTTTTAATACACGAAAACACTTGCTTATCAATATCTTTTTCTCCCTCTTCTACCCTTTCTCCCTTGTTTTTTTTTTGTCATCATCTTAGGGTTCATGAGCAATCTTTCTCTATCTCTCACCAACCCTTCATAGTTCGTAGCATGACGTTACAATGGAGTACGGATAATGTTTGGGTGGACAGGTTTGACTTTAGAGTACTTGAGCTTGGGCTCGATCGAGATTTGTTGTTTATTTTTTTTTTTTGCTTATCAAGGAGTTGTGTTGTGTGCTAGTAGAAATCCTCATGATGTTCGATTGCTTCTTTAACCCGAAAAAATCAGTTCATTATGTGAATTCGAGTGATATACATATTATTATTAATCAAATATTGTGCTGATTTTAGCAATAACCTTAAAATTAAGTGACCATTGTCCACTTACATAGAAGTTAGAACATGTATGCATGAAATGGTAAAAAAACAGGGCGCGTGAGTCCCAAACACCTAGCAGGTGGTTGTTTGACTTGTGAATCTTAAGCAGTCCACTGAGCCTTCTGATTTTCCCACGAAAACCCGCCTGATTCTCAATTTCTAATTCCCTCGCAACTAACGCCTACCCACCCCAATTCCTGGTCAGTTCCTTCTTCCTCCCTCAACTATACCTTTGTCCCCAAACCGGTACCCAAACTTTCACTTTCTCCACCAATTAAGACCTAGGCAGCACACAAAGAGTTTTGCAATCTCCAAGTCGGCTCCAACCCATGGCGGAGTTAGAAATCTAAGCAAAGGGAACGAGATAAAGAAGCTTGAGGGACTTTGAATCCTAGTAATTAAGCATGGATGTCTGAAGTCTTACCAATTAGTTACACATATTTATTTTGTTATGAGTTTTTTCGTGTAGTCTCAAACCATAGTTTGAAAGCTGAAGAGAGCAATGACCACCCTCTTGTGAATAGTCCAGCAAACCGCTCCAACCATGGCCGAGAACTTCACTGGGCTCGAAAACTGATACGTCTCAGATGAAACTGGAGAAATCATTGATGCTTGAGACACGTCGACATACTTTGTAAATCATCATCTAGTAGTCGAGTCATGAAAAATCAATTGTAGAAGGGAAATATGACCATTGAGTGATGAAACCCGACACGAATTAGAAAGTCTTAAACTCGTTAGGTTGACTCTCAATAGAAGAAAAAAAAAACGCACATAACTACGCCCCATTACAGTAATACACTTATGGTCTATCCAACTAGTAGAACATTGTTATGTTAGAATATATCTCAAGTATGTTACAAACACATACGAAATATGTATTATTTATCAACATTATTCACGTATTACCGTTACCCACGCTTTGTTATACTTTTTTATCACCTTCCCGAGCTACTAACTAAGTTAGAGGTACCAAAATGTTATTTTCTTGTAACCCTTGGCCTCAAAGGCCGAGACAAAGAACACAGGTGTAAAGTAAGCAAGTAACACGGAGGACAAAGGGAAAACCCTTAGGGGGTCGTTTGGATTAGTGAATGTGATGAGGGATTTATGAGTGATTTTAAAACAATCTCTCGTTGTGCAGGATTTTAAAACAATTCTGCGTTTGGAAAGGTGAGAGATTGTGGGCATGAGGAAATTCTAAATCTCTCATATGAGAGTTTTTAAAATAGCTGATGGGGATCAGCTATTTCACAATCACTCATTTTTTCTCATTCTTTTCCAAACTCTGCCCCTCCTTTTGTTCTTCCTTTCTTATTCTTCCTTAGGGATTAGGGATGGGTATAATTGTAACTTTAATATTTAATTAAAATCCTTCACCTATTCCCAAACATGTTATTTGGATAAAATCCCACGTTTAAAATACCTGGGTTTTTAATTGAGAGATTTTAATCCAAATCCCTCATTTACACATTCCCTAATCCAAACGACCCCTAGGGCGCTAAAACCAACCGCAATTCACAGGTATATTAGCTCGCATCGTAAGCTCGCCAGCCAGCCCACAGCGCAGGACCAGAAAAGGAAGACGATTCAACGACTTCCTTCCTATCCTTCCCTTCACTTCCCTTCCACAGTTTCAGACAAACTACACTCCATCAAAGCAATCAAAACCCACCTCCCAAATCTCTCCCCTTTCTCCGGCTTCCCCAAAAAAATGGCGATGGCCGCCTGCTTCCTCGCCGCCGGCTCCCTCTCCTCCTCCGCCGCCAAACCCCGGATCCACCTCCCTTCGTTCCAATCCCCTTCCCCTTTCCAAACCCTCCGCCTCCACTCCTCCTCCCCTGCTTTTTCCTCCCGCCATCTCACCAATCGACAACGCCTCCTCCCTCTGTTTGTCCCTTCCGCATCGCTCGGCGGCGGAGACGACGGCGGGATCAACCGGTTCCCTCCCTCCGGCGGCGGCGGGGGAGGAGGGGACGAACCCTCTGATGGGGACAATGCAGGGGACAAGAACAGGGTAGAGGCGATGATGGTGCTGGCGGAGGCCGGGAGGTTGCTGGAGAGCCTGCCGAAGGACCTGGCGGTGGCGATCCAGGACGGGAGGATTCCCGGGGCGGTGGTTTCGAGGTTTTTGGAGCTGGAGAAGTCGGCGGTGATGCGGTGGCTGCTTCAATTCGGTGCGTTTAAGGAGAGGTTGCTGGCGGATGATCTGTTCTTGGCGAAAATCGGGATCGAGTGCGGCGTCGGCATCTTCACCAAGGTAATAAAAATGGGGATCGGCGATCTGTAGGTAGCTATGCAGTCCAACTGTTTGTTTCTTTTTTGTCCAATTGAGAAAAGCCCTTTTCATTGCTCTGTTTTTAGTCGTTATAGTGTCAAATCGTCAATCTGGATTCTGCTTTTTTCATTGTCGTTGCCAAGCTTTTTTTACCCTATTTGGCCATTTGGCCAAAGCTCGCATCTTTTTTATATGGGATGTGATGATCACTGGCTGCAAGTGGCACTCCATTACTTAGTTAATGTTCTGTAAAGTTTTTTTTTTTTTTTTACCTTTGTTCAGTTTAACTGTCAATTCTTGCTGAAAGTTTTAATCTTTAGTTTATCTTTCCCCTTTTTTGAATATGCCCGATGGATAGACTGCTGCAGAGTATGAGAAACGCAGGGAGAATTTCTTCAAGGAGCTGGAAATTGTGTTTGCTGATGTGGTACGTGGGTCTTCACTAAGAAGAATTCTGTTTCTGGGATGATGTAGTTGCTTTAATGATTTATCACCCACTCAAGTTGTGTACATTTTGCCTATTAGGTGATGGCCATATGTGCAGATTTCATGCTTGTTTTCCTTCCTGCGCCTACCGTCTCTCTGAGACCAGCGCTGGCAGGAACTGCTGGACCTGTTGCAAGGTTCTTCTATGGCTGCCCTGACAATGCTTTCCAGGTAAAAAGAAGGGTTAACTGTAATTTCTCTTGCCAACTTATTGAGTTGAACGAGGAGAGGAACTTAAAGGACTATTCTTTCTCTTTTGCTCTGCAGACTGCTCTTGCTGGAACTTCGTATTCATTCGTGCAGAGACTAGGCTCAGTTGTGGTAAAGAAAATTAGACGTTTTTTTTCCTGAGTTTGAACTTGGTTTCTGTCAATGCTTATGAGTCTTTGTTATCAGTAGCTCACAATCTACGTCTCTCAATTTTACAGCGAAATGGAACAAAGCTCTTCGCTGTTGGCACTGCATCTTCCCTGGTAAGCTTTTTGTTTGCTAAGATGTTGGCTCTTGCTGGTCTTTTACATCTCCTGGAGCACGTCTGTAACCTAGCAACTCCTCTATTAAGTGGTGAAAAAACTGTTTGGTGGGAAACAACACTTTTTGTAGGTCATTAGTATGGCAAAATCTGCTGCAAAATTAGTTGATTGAAACATATTGCAAGAGATTAGAACTGACCAGGAGCAAACTTAGAACAGAACTCTCATCTGGTCCTTTTACCATGTGAAATTCATAGATCACATATTCACTTGACTCTGATTTTGATTCCCTAAATGGTTGTAGATTGGGACAGTGGTAACAAATGCCCTGATCAATGCAAAGAAGGCTGTGGACAGTACCGGTGAAGTTGAAAACGTGCCTATACTCTCGACCAGTGTTGGCTATGGTGTCTACATGGCAGTTTCTAGCAACCTCAGGTTCGTTAACATATGATTTCTTCCTTCCACTTCCTCATTTTTACATAGGAACTAGTAATGGATGTGGAAGTTGTCATCGGTCAGATTCACATGAGAGAATGATTCTGTGGTGCAGGTACCAAATCTTGGCTGGTGTTATTGAACAACGAATCTTGGAGCCTTTACTCCATCAACACAAGCTCATGCTCAGTGCAATCTGTTTCGCTGTTCGAACTGGCAACACTTACTTGGGCTCACTTTTGTAAGTTTCCATCCTTGTATAACTCTCTAGCAAGCTTCTCGCACATCTAGTCATTATTCTCATGATGGTGCAATTTGTTTGGACCAGGTGGGTGGATTATGCTCGCATGATCGGGATCCAAAAGGCCCAAGAAGAGCATAATGAACTGGCTTAGGCAGATGCAAGAGTCCAGAACCTTGTGTGGAACTTATTTTTTTTACTTTGTTTGACCCCCCATGTTAGTGTAGATCCTGAAGAAAGTAGGTTATATATGAATTGACATTTTCCCTGGGAGAGATTTAGGCGGCATTGCTTTTGGAAGTTCGTTTACGTCTGAAATTAGTCGATAGGCCTTCTAGTTGATATTGGTTTTCCGGCTCATCCACTTGATTTGCTTTTGTATCATTCGCATGATAAGTTGAGTGCATTGATTTCAGACACCCTGAATTGTTCAGTTTGATGGTTGGAGTTGGAGACAGGTTATATATGAAGTACAATAAAACAAGGAATTTGTTTCTTTTCCTTTTCCCCCATTGATAATATGGCTGTCACCATTGCTTGATTCTTTACAGGTGAGTTGCAGGTAAGGTTACTGCAATCTTTTGATCAGTTCAGATCATGCATTAGGAGCCTCTAGCCAGCAAGGTAGGTTAACAACAACATACCTAGAAACAGCTTCCTGGTAATCTGTTAATTCATTGTTTCAACAGCATTCTACTGCAGGTGGCGATCGAGTCAATTCTATGCAATGACTTCATCTTTCAGGCAACTCCTTATTGTGACACCCACAACATTAGTTCCAACCTCGTGATTAACGTCACAGCATTCCATCACACCAGCCTGGGAAGAATAATAACACACAGATCAGGGGGAAAAGAACACACTTGAATATCTAAAGAACAGAACGGGGTCCAAACTCACCATCTTCCGAGTCCTCCCTGGAGAAACCACCTGAATCTCATCCACTCGACTGGCAGAATGGTTCCCGGCCAACTCACAAGGCTGCAAGTTAGCTGGCCACTTTCGAGCATACGTAGTGACGACCTGGTCCCCTACTATTTCAGACGCGTTCTTGTTCTTCTTCCAGTCGTCGACAGACTGGAAGTAGAACACGTGGGGGGACTCACAAGCATTGCCATTCAGCCACCTCGTGTTGAACATGAAAGCCGGGTACTTAGTGTTCCTAACCCATGCCTTGAACGTCTCGAGGGGCTTAATCAATGTGCTCCTAGGGATGATGTTCTCGTATATGTAAGCAGAGTAGCCCCAGGAAACAGAGACAGACCAGTTGCTCTGCCTGTGATAGCAGATAGTCTGCTGCGAGAGACGAGATTGGTCCACTTCTGCTGCTTTCATGAGGTGTCGAATGGCTTGAAGGCGGTCCATGGATGGGAAGATCGGATCTATGGCGTCGAAGTGGTGGAGGGTTACCAAAGGGGCTTGTGGGTGAGTCGATAGAAAGCCTGAGATGTCACCATGGAGATCAATCTGCAATGCTTTAAGCTCCTTGTTAGAGGTTTTTTGAAAAATGAGACGGATCGAAACGATGACTACTTCACCTGGTGAATCCCCTTCTGATGAGCTACAGCAACTCCAAGATCAGCCAAACAAGACTGAACCATATGGTCACTAACGAACACTCGCGGGTACCTCTCAATGCAACCTTCGAGCTTACTCGACAATGCCTCGACTAAAGGCCAGCTCAAAGCGTAGCCAGCTCCACCAAACCCCATGTCGAATGAGAAATCAGCATTGGACCTCACACTCTCCGAGTTGCCTCCAATGTAGCGGTACTTGGTGTGGTCAAACTTGCTTAGAACCTCCACCAAGTTATCCACAAACACCAATGTGTCATCGTCGCACACCATGAGCCACCTCAGTCCTTCGTTGGCCCGATCGCCCTGTCGATACATGTCGAGAATGGCTCGAACCATTCGTACTTGAGGTGGGTTGACAAGTTTCGAGTAGACCTTCAGGTTGGTGAAATCGCTACTCACTCGGTAAGGTGGGGATGTTGTGGACCATGGTAGGAACTCTGGCGTGGGCTCCTTGTCTAAGAATACATAACCTTCAAGTGGCAAGAGAATCAGTTCAAAATCATTCTGATTATGGAAAAAACTCTCTTACCAAAGTCATTACCTCTTGTCACATTTGGTCTCCACCAGGACTCTATGTAGTGCTTTCTCCACCTCCAGGTGGGCAACGAACCAATCACGACGAACCCCACGTGGCTTATTTCGGTTGGCGAAAGATCGGCTGGATCCGATGGAAGAGAAGCCCTACTACTACCATCACCACCATCACTACTACTAGTGCTCCATTTGTGTGGAAGGGTCAGAAGGGGAAGGATAGTAGTAGTGTTAGCATGGTTATGGAACAATAAGGTGTAGAGCAAGAAGAGCAATAGCCCTGAAAGGAATATGCTTTTGCAGAGGACATCAAGTTGGAGCTGTTGAAAGTACTTGTGCTGCATTTTGTGCTGAAAGAATTGAAAGTTGGCATGAATTTAATAAGAGTTTTGGCCGGTTGTAACAGAAGGGTAGCTAGAATGGTATAATAACTAGGGTAAAAAGGTGAAACAGTTTAAGAATATCTTGAAACATTCTCCAAAACCCTAACTTCAAGATCAAGGAAGGAGGACATGAGAGGAGTACTGCATGTCTACAGCATTATGGACAATGTGAAGCTGGATGTAGGATGAATCAATCATTGAGAGTCTCTGTGGAATGCTTTCTGTGCAGCCTAATGTTCTTTCTGGGCTTGTGCATGGCCGTTATGAACTTTATAGTAATCAATCAATTGTGGAGGGAAGAACTTTACGGTTTAGTGGCTCAACTAAAACCTGCCTCCTGTTGCTTGCTTAGCAGGAGAGGAAGGCGTGAATGGATCACGTGAACAACAAGGAAGGGTTGATACATATTGGATCGGGCTAGATACTTGGGCCGGGCTGTGCTGCTTTCGTCTTCGGGCCATACTTGTGTTTGACATGGGCCTATGTGGTAAGATGGTTGGAATTGGGACTCCCATCTCTTTGCATGGTGCATTCTGCAGTCTAGTGATATTGATTGATCAGTTGAAAAGGGACATTTTAGTAGCTAGTTTTGATTCATAACTTCAAACATGTCCGCAACAAAAGAAAGATTATCTTCCTTCTAGTCTTGTCGTGGTTTAGATTGAATTGTAACGCGAACGATAATGAACAGAAGACATTGGAATGGATAAGAAGTACCTAGAAGAGAGAGATCTGAAGCAATACTTCAACTAATTACAAAAGCTAATATCCCTTCACAAATGTCAAATTTTGTTACCATTCTTATTTAAGAAACTAATGCTTTTTTACTACTCATCACTGTTTTCCTCTATGCAATGACTTCATTTCTTGTACAAGACCTTATCTTGATCACTGCAATGTCTGCTCCATCCTCGTACTCAACATCACAACATTCAATCACATCAGGCTGGATAAAAAAGAAAAAACAACAACCAAACATAAGAAGAAGAAAGAAAGATCAATCTTATGAACAGTTGGTTTGATCTGAAAATGAGAAGGAAAACTGACCAATTTATGAACAGGAGCAGGAGACAGAACCCTTATGGTGGAAATGGAATCTGCAGAATGATTGTGACCAAAAACAGAACAAGGAGGCAGGTCACGAGCTGAAGCTCTACCGTACATCGTGGCAACAACAGCTTGATGATCGTTCGATGATGGTGGAACGAGCTCGATGGATTGGAAAAAGAACACATGGGGAGCTTCACATGGATTGTTGGTCACCCTCCTTGTGTTGAACATGAAAGATGGATACTTGACATGATTGTTCCAAGGCTTAAACGTCTCGAGAGGCTTTCGAAGGATGCTTCGAGGGATGATAGTTTCGTATATGTGAACCGAGTAGCCCCACGAGACGGAGAAGGAGAAGTTCTTCACCCTTTGGTAGCATATGGTTTGCTGCAACATTCGTGATTGGTCTGCTACTAGGTTCCCCGGTTTCATGATGTGTCGTGCAGCTTCGTACCTAGCATTTTGGTAAGATCGTAATTGTAAGATCGAATCGAGAAATCCTTCGCTGAGTTTCGTCAATATGTTCATTACCTGTCCATGGAAGGAAAGATTGGTTCCACTGCATCAAAATGGTGGAGGGTTAGGGCTGGAGACTGTGGATGGGATGACAAAAGGCCTGATATATCACCATGAAGATCAATCTGTGAAAACCAAAAAAAGCAGAGAAACCATCATTGAAAGTTCTCGAAAGAATTGACACTATCTGAAGTCAAATTTGACTGATTTGAGAGCCCATTTGAGGGAAATTTTTACCTGATGAATCCCTTTCTCAATGGTGAGAGCAATTCCAATGTCAGCTAAGCATGACTGAGCCAAGTGATCACTCACATACAAGTAAGGGTACCTTTCGATGCAAGCATCTAACTTGGGTGCCAAGACTTCCACCAATGAATAGCTCAAGGCATACCCAGCTCCTCCAAAACCCATATCAAACGAGAAATCAGCATTGGACTTCACACATTCAGAATTCATCCCAATGTAATGGTACTCTGTGTGATCATACTTCCCTAGCACTTCGACCAAGTTATCGACGAAAATGAGAGTGTCATCGTCAGCCATCACAAACCACCTCAGCCCGCTGTCTCCAACCCTGTACATGTCGAGGATCGAGCGCATGATCCTGACCTCCACCGGGTTCACGAGCTGAGGGTAGACCCTCAACTTGGTGATGTCTTCATTGACTCTCCACGGTGGGGAAGTTGCAGGCCAATGGAGGAATTCCGCTGTAGTGGGTTCCTTGTCTAGGAAGACATAGCCTCTTGTCGAGTTCGGCCTCCACCAGGACTCCGTGTAGGGCTTCCTATGCTTCCATGTCGCCAAGGAGCTCACTACTATGAACCCAATGTGGCTGATATCGGTTGGAGGAACGACGTTGGTGCTGATATTGTTGGGTGATGAACTTGTTGTGAAAGGGGAAGTTGGCCATTTGAGTTGCAGATTGGTGAGAAGAAGATCTGCAGCAGTGTAGTTAGTATTGGCATGGTTGGACCAAACCGTGTAGAGCATGAAAAGTGCAAGGCCTGAGATGGCAATCGATTTACATAGTGCTCCATTGGAGGTGGACATTGTGGAGGGCTTCATCTGAAGGGCTAAATGGAACAAGAAGGCTGGTTTTTAGTATAATGAAGTAGAACAAACAGTGAAGAGTCGCTTTGGGAGTTCTTCATATTTATGAAGCCAAGATTGCTGCTTTATTCATGTCCCCTCTGCAACTGGTTCTAGTGACTTTCTGGTTTTCTTTCATATGTGGTGTCTTTTCTACAATGGCTTCTTTTCTGACACGGTACAATGTAAAGTAGGGTTACATTTAGGGTAAAAGGAACCTAGACAACCCCATGAAAACAGGATCTTTGCCTGGACATAGTTGTCCAAGTGTATCTTAATTGCATGCCTGATTCTCTTCTTCAATCTGTTTTATTTGCCTTTCCAATTGAACATCTCAGACTTTTACAATGGTGCAAGTTAATACTAAGTTAAAAAAAAAAGAGCGTAATCCAGGATAACAATTTCGATGCAACATCCTCGCTCAGATCCGAAACAACCTATTACAATGGCTAGACATGGATCTTGCATGTTCTTGATCCGTTCTGACACACCTCGTTCTTGTTCCATTCTATCACACATCGCGGCGAACCAATTGTCCTTTTCTCAGTTGGATCCTTGGTCAGTATTCTCCAGAAAAAAGTACCCTGATGAGTGCTAGTAACATAAACTATGGGCAACTAGTACTCTAAAGCAAGCAATGAATGTGTTGACATCTTTACCCTACAGTTACACATGGTGAATTTATAGCTCTCCTTACTCTTTACCACTCTTTGAGGTCTTTTTGCTTTGCATGACAGCAAAGGGTTCTTGTTTGACCCTTGAAGTGCAAGAAATGTTATGTGCAGAAAAGAGCCAATTCCTCAACTTCACCTATTCTCATGTGCAGAAAAGAACCATCTGTCCTTAGGCAATGACTTCATCTTTCAGGCAACTCCTTATCGTGACACCCACGGAACTCGTTCCAATCTTGTGATCAACATCACAGCATTCCATCACTCCAGCCTAAACACACATAAAGAAACTGATTCATGTCAGGGAAAAAACAACACACTTGAAAATCTAAAGAAATGCATTCAATAGAGGATCCAGACTCACCATCTTACGAGCCCTCATTCGAGAAACCACCCGAATCTCATCCACAAGACTGGCAGAGTGGTTCCCAGCCAACTCGCAAGGACGCAAGTTGGCTGGCCACTTTCTAGTATACGTAGTGACAACCTGCTGGTCCCCTACTACTACAGCAGACGCGTTGTTCTTCTTCCAGTCTTCGTCGAAAGACTGGAAGAAGAACACGTGGGGGGACTCACAAGCATCATCATTCGGCCTCCTCGTGTTGAACATGAAAGCTGGGTAGCTAGTGTTGATAATCCATGGCTGGAACGTCTCGAGGGGCTTGATCAATGTGCTTCTAGGAATGATGTTCTCGTATATGTAAGCAGAGTAGCCCCAGGAAACCGAGACAGACCAGTTGCTCTCCCTATGATAGCAGATGGTCTGCTGCGCGAGACGAGATTCGTCGACTTCTGCTGCTTTCATGAGGTGTTGAATAGCTTCGGGGCGGTCCATGGAGGGGAAGATTGGATCAATGGTGTCGAAATGGTGAAGGGTCACTAAAGGGGCTTGTGGGTGAGTTGATAGAAAGCCTGAGATGTCCCCATGGAGATCAATCTGCAACATTTGAAGCTTTTTGTTAGATACTAGGGGTTGTAAATTGTAATGGATTGGAAAATGAAACGGTGAAGTACTACACCTGGTGAATTCCCTTCTGATGAGCTACAGCAACTCCAAGGTCAGCCAAACAGGACTGAACCATATGGTCACTAACAAAAAGGTGTGGGTACCTCTCAATGCAACCTTCGAGCTTACTCGACAATGCCTCGACTAAGGGCCAGCTCAAAGCATAGCCAGCCCCACCAAATGCCATGTCGAATGAGAAGTCGGCATTGGACTTCACACACTCCGAGTTGCCTCCAATGTAATGGTACTTGGTGTGATCAAACTTGTTTAGAACCTCGACCAAGTTATCCACAAACACTAATGTGTCGTCGTCGCAGACCATGAACCATCTCAGCCCTTTGTTGGCCTGATCACCCTGTCGGTACATGTCGAGGATGGCTCGAAACATTCTGACTTGAGGCGGGCTCACGAGTTTCGGGTAGACCCTTAGGTTGGTGAATTTGCTGCTGACTCGGTACGGTGGGGAGGTAAGTGGCCATGGTAGGAACTCTGGTGTAGGTTCCTTGTCTAAAAACACATAACCTGACAGTAGGAAGAATTAGTTCAAACTTCTTGTGACTATGGAATGAATTTTTATTGTTTATGTTGTTACCTCTTGTCACATTTGGTCTCCACCAGGCTTCTATGTAGTGCTTTCTCCATGTCCAGGTGGGCAAGGACCCGATTACGACGAATCCCACGTGGCTGATCTCGGTTGATGAATCTGGTTTATCAGATGGAAGAGGAGCTCCACTACCACCACTACTACTGCTCCATTTGTGTGGGGTTAGAAGAGGAAGAACATTAGTGTTAGCATTGATGTCAATGAACAATAAGGTGTAAAACAAAAAGAGCATTAGAACAGAAAGTAGTATGCTTTTGCATGGACATCATGATGGAATTGGTGAAACTCGTGTTGCATTGAGCTATATGAAAGAAAACATTACCAAGTTGTCATGGTTGGGGAAGATGGCCATTTGAGTTGAAGACTGGTGAGAAGATCTGAAGCACTTGTGTAGTTACCATTGACATGGTTGGACCAAACCGTGTAGAACACGAAAAGTACAAGGCCTGAGATGGCAATGGATTTGCTTAGGGTTCCAAGATTAAGATGGTGGAAGGAGACATTTGGGGATGCAACATTGGAGGTGGGCATTGTGGACGACTTTATTCATCTCAATGGCTAAATGCAGAAAATGAAGGTTGGGTCCTAATATGGGAATAGAACAGTGAAGTGTTTCTTGGAATTGAAGTCTCTTGATCAGTACTTTATTTGTTAAAGCCAAGATTGCTGCTGAATTCATGTTTCCTGCAATTCTTTCTATTGACTTTTTAGTCTTCCTTCATGTGTGCTGCCTGCCTTGCCATTGCATACATGAAACCTTTACATTTGTGAAAGTTAAAACTACGAAATAAAAGGGTAGTTCAGGTCGAGGATGATAATTTCGACATAACCTACTCTCTTGGATCCGACACAACATATTCAGACGGATAGGCATGGATCTTATCTTTACTTCATCCACTTTGATACGTCTCGTTCTATAATTTAGTTAGGATCAAGTGTGAGCTTCTCACACCTAGATCAAAGGACAATATTCGCAACCCGCCCCATTTGTCATTCCTGATTCCTGAATCCAGACTTTTCACAGCTCAGATCTTGGTCATTCTGCAAAGTCTCGAAACATAAAGTCATAAGCTATGGCAACTAGCTAGTACTCTAAGGATAAGGAAAGAGATCTTCTAAAGTTCTGCTGTACTTAACAGAAGCAAATTCCTCTTATTCTTCAAAAAAAAAAAAAAAACACTTAACAGAAGCAAGCAATGAGGGTGTTTGACATCTTTACCCTTCAGTTTTACATACCTTTCCTTACTGGAAAATGGACTCAGTCTTTTAGGTCTTTTTGCTTTGCATGGCAACAAAGGGCTCTGTTTGACCCTTAAATAGCAAGCAATGCATGTGCAGAAAAGAACCCTCCTTGGTTTCACGTATTCTCATGGTACAAACATGCCCATCTGGATATAATATGCTCTGCTTGGCTCAAACTGATGCCAAAGGGCATGTAAGACTTTAACGGATGAGTGCAGAAGGGAGAATGTTTGCATATCCAACAACCATACCGATCTCACAGACAGAATCTTCTCGATAGGATTGTTCCATGTGCAAATTTTCCATCTCAACAAAGAACAGTTTCCCAAATTGACCACAACACCGGACTGCAGAAGCTTTCCGAGATCAAGATAATGAAAACAGGAAGAATGCTGGAAAAGAGTTTCTGTACTAAAGATGTATGAAATCCAAATATCAATCTTATTTCGCTTCCTCTCTACGTTACAATTCTACATATTTTAATCAACTGTAAGCTCTGTTCTCTACATTACAGATCTACCAAATCCGGTCCCCAGTTCGATATCCAGATGTATATCAAGTCTCATTTCTTCCTACTACATTCTCATCATGATCATCACGATAAATAAAAACATCAAACATTCAACTAACTTACTGATCTCACGATTCCCGTGGCCCATCGAAAGACTGAGTCTTTCTCAAGTTCCAATGGAGTCCCTCATGTATGCTGCGAAGGAAGTCTCCCATGGAATCCACAAAACAGGCAGTGGGGACAGGCCATGGAGCCATGCGGCACACAAGTGCATCGCCAGCTGCTTCCTGTCCTTCCCGTCAAAGGATGCCCAAGCAGGGCTCCTGCTGTTGAAAGGAACTTGCACTCGTACAGTGACATTCTCTGGAAGTATCAGAGGCCGAAATGACAAGGAATGCGGGCAAATTGGCGTGAAAAGAATCCCAGGCACCTGCAAATAGGAAGACACCAGATTTATGATTTGCCTCTCATCTACCCTCGAGATAGAATGAACTGAACTTTTCCAAGAGGTGAATGTGTGTACCTGCGGGTGAACCATTGATCCTCCAGCTGCCAATGAGTATGCAGTTCTTCCAGATGTAGTGGATAAAATCAAACCGTCTCCTTGAACAGTCGTGACGAACGAGTTGTCACAGTAGCACTCCAGATTCGTGAGGTATGATGATATCCCGCGGTCGATCGTTACCTCATTAAGCACGAGTATCGGTTCCTCAGTCTCGTACTCGTTCTTAGCTTCATCTCTAATGACATAGCACTGTAGCCTGTGCCGCAGTGTTATGCTGACTGGACCCCTCAAGATAGAATCTAGGCAATCCCGGTAGGGAACCTTTGCAGGTGATTAATCGAGCGACCTTGGTGAGTCTCCGCTTCCAGATGCAGCATTCCCAGCAGCAGCTGACCCAAAAACCTAATCACCTTTCTTTCCCCAGCTAGAGGAGCTATGACGAGACATACAGTTCCTTCTTTCGCTGCAGCTATAGCCTGCAATTTCGGCCACTATGAGCTAGTAAGAGCCTGCAAATTTCAGTCAGCAAATTGACACTCCTATAGGCTATAGCCATTGCAGAGGCAGTTGTTGACTTACAAAATGAGAAAGTTTACATTTAAGGAAACCCAATTGCACCTAAGGATTGAGTTGACAACAAACAAATACTGGTAACCAAAGCGCAGACTATTTTTATTTGAATTAAAGCAATTTTTTCCCCAACGAAAGCGTTGCACTTTACGATTGACAGTATGCAATTGGAAATGCATTGCAGGCCACATAAAAACCAAACTTGCCAAGAGGAAATAAAAAAACCAAACCCGCCAAGAGGAAATCAAGAACTGTAAAACATAAGGCATAAATAAATTGTTCAGCCACAAAAACGCATAAAACAACTTAATTGTAGAGAACACATGTACGACCATTAACGGGTCCTCTTGCAGTCTTGGTCCACTTGAATTGGAACCATGACAAAAGTTTGGCAGACATAGATTCACAAAATTAAAGCATTACATGTAAACTCTAACGTTTCTAATGAATCATTTGAAATTTGAGTAATCCGAAATTTGATTGTCCTCTTCTAAATCTTGCAGCTATCATAAGAAATTAACAAACAATGTATAAGCAGCATCTCGAAATACTCAAAGACTGCAGGCACCTTAGATGTCAGCTCTATGAACCTTCTACTCCAAGTTAAATACTTGTTGCTTTCAATTTCTGCAGCATTTTTTAGTTCACATTTGGCTGGACATCAACTCTCATGACCTTTCTGTCAGTCGTCTCCCGCTATGGAAAAAAGAGCCAACATCCTTGCAGCAGAAATGGAACAATAATGCAAAACTAAAGTTCACTCAAAGTCAGAACCACAATAGAGAACATAAAGAAAGTAAATGGTTTTATTACATTTAGTTTTAGAAACCCATAGAGAAGAACCTCTTATTCAGAACCACCAAATCCCCAATCAGAGTGAGACACTCCTTCCAACAGACACCTAATCCTGAATGCTGCAATAAATCAATAAAAATAAGTCAGTACTGAAGCCTTCCCTAACAACTGGAAAAGATCACTTTGAAAAGGCAAACAAAGAGGTCAAGTAGTAAACCTTTTTGAACCACCAAGCAGTCCAATTTCTACAAACCCAAGAGATATGAAATACAAAACAGACAGAATGGAATGATTGGTTCATTGATTGATACATAGAAAGCTAAATAGTTATAAGACATTAGCACAAAACATACACAGTTGTTTCATTTTTTTCACTCCAGACATGTTTGTATCCATTTTTCATATCTGTTTCATTCTTTCTTTCTAGTAAAGTAATCAGCAGTCAGCAACATGAGTGACTGTAGACCTCAGCTTACTAATCGGCCTGTTCAGCAACTTGTCTACCGGTTACGCAATCATGACGACCATTGATGATGAGCAACAATAGCAGGTCCTCAATGTCCTTGTTGGTGGAGAAGCTCTTGATCCTTAATCATGAACTGAACTAACATATCATGCTATTAGAAGAGTTTTTGGAGCCCAATGAGCAGCAACATTTTGTTTTCCCAATTTACCTGCGACTTGCAAGAGTTGAGAATTAGGGAGTAGAAAACATAAAAGTATCAGGCTTAAGAAGACTTCTAAATGACAAATTTACACTTCTGCTAAAAGAACAGACTTCTAAGTGACAAATGAACACCTCTGAAACTGAAATGTTGCATTTCCTTTATCTTGAAGGTACCATATATTCTGGATTTCCCTCAGAATGAATGAAGCTGCTGCTGCTGCTGGTAAATCAAAGTCGAGTCTACTGTCTGCTGGAAACAATGACATTGCCTTCTATAACTGAAGTCTCCTTTACATAGGCTGCTAGGACTGAAGGTGTTGCTTCCATTTGGCCAACTGGATAGGTTCTTCCCTTTTGCTTGGATCCCAATCCAGCTTCCCAACCGCCAAACTCACAAAATCAGCTTTCCTGTTTGAGCTACAGTCAGCATTCATGGAGCCAAGCATTTCGTTGGCCAATCGACGTCTCTCTGACTCTGAGGAAACCATCAAAAACAAAATCTCAAAAATCAGAACCCACATTGTCAGATCCTACAAAGATCCGAACTTGGGACATGAGTTATCTCAAATCTACAACCCAAAAATACGGAGAAAACAACGGAGAGAAAATCCACTCACCGGGTCTTCACCAGCCACCGTTGGGTCCGCCTCTCCGCCTCTTCCTCCTCTTCAGCCATTGTTCCTCTGTCCATGTGAGCTTGGAAAGGACGGTATGATTCATGAGGCCAGTGAAAGCAGAGGAGCGTAGATTGGGAAGTGACGGGACGGGAGCCGAGAACTGGACGGAGGTGGTACAGAAAGAGAGCGAACGGGAAAACGAAATAGGGCACAAAACTGAGGTGGGAGAGGAACATGAACCAAGCAATCCGTATCCAAGGGTTTGGAAGTGGTTTCGGTAGCGGTGCCGTGTGAGAGCAAGCAAACGGAAAGGTGGTGGGCGTACGAACGACATGGGCGTTTGCTGAAAATGGGGGAGGCCATGCCGGCGAGAGGAAGAGGTGGGTGGGGAAGTTCCTCCGCGAAGCCCTTAATGAAACTCGCTAAACGACAGAAGAAAGTGATACAGTAGTTGCAAAAAGGTGTACATAGAAGGAATGTACAATATATTCCATTAATTTGGTGATGTCTGCATTGACTCTCCACGGTGGGGAAGTTGCAGGCCATGGAAGGAACTCATCTGTAGTGGGGGTTCCTTGTCTAGGAAGACATAGCCTCTCGTCGAGTTCGGCCTCCACCAGGACTCAGCGTAGGGCTTCCTGTGCTTCCATGTCGCCAAGGAGCTCACTACTATGAACCCAATGTGGCTGATATCGGTCGGAGGAACAACGTTTAGTGCTGATATTGTTGGGTGATGAACTTGTTGTGAAAGGGGAAGTTGGCCATTTGAGTTGAAGATTGGTGAGAAGAAGATCTGCAGCAGTGTAGTTAGTATTGGCATGGTTGGACCAAACCGTGTAGAGCATGAAAAGTGCAAGGCCTGAGATGGGAATTGATTTACAGAGGGATCCTAGATAGAGATGGTGGAAGGAGATGTTTGGGGATGGAACATTGGAGGTGGACATTGTGGAGGGCTTCATCTCAAGGGCTAAATGGAACAAGAAGGCTGGTTTTTTAGTATATGGCATTAGAACAAACAGTGAAGAGTCTCTTTGGGAGTTGTTGATATTTATGAAGCCAAGATTGCTGCTTTATTCATGTCCCCTCTGCAACTGGTTCTAGTGACTTACTGGTTTTCTTTCATATGTGGTGTCTTTTCGACACTGGCTCCTTTTCTGTCATGGTACAATGTAAAGTTGGGTCATTACATTTAGGGTAAAAGGAACCTAGACAACCCCATTAGAACAGGATCTTTGCCTGGACATGGTTATCCAAGTGTATCTTAACTGCAAGCCTGATGTTTCTTTTCAATCTGTTTTATTTGCCTGGCCAATTGAACATCTCAGACTTTTAGAATAGTGCAGGTTAATACTAGGAACAAAAGAAAGGGTAATCCAGGATAACAATTTCGACGTAACTTTGTTGGTCAGATCTGACTCAACCTATTAGGATGGCGGGACTTGGTTCTTGATCCGTTCCATCACACATTATGATGAATCAATTGGCCTTCTCAGTTTGAATCCTTGGCCATTCTCCAAAAAAGTACACTGATGAGTGCTAGTAACATAGGCTATGGGCAACTAGTACTCTAAAGCAAACAATGAATGTGTTGACATCTTTAACCTACAGTTACACATGGTGAAGTTATAGCTCTCCTTACTCTTTACCACTCTTTGAGGTCTTTTTGCTTTGCATGACGATGAAGGGTTCTTGTTTGACCCTTGAAGTGCAAGAAATGTTATGTGCAGAAAAGAGCCAACTCCTCCATTTCACCTATTCTCATGTGCAGAAAAGAACCATATGTCCTTAGGCAATGACTTCATCTTTCAGGCAGCTCCTTATCGTGACACCCACGGAACTCGTTCCAACCTCGTGATCAACATCACAGCATTCCATCACTCCAGCCTAAACACACAGAAACAAATTGATTCATGTCAGGGGAAAAACAACACACTTGAAAACCTAAAGAAACATATGCAGAAGAGGATCCAAACTCACCATCTTACGAGCCCTCGTTCGAGAAACCACCCGAATCTCATCCACAAGACTGGAAGAGTGGTTCCCAGCCAACTCGCAAGGACGCAAGTTGGCTGGCCACTTTCGAGCATACGTAGTGACAACCTGCTGGTCCCCTACTACTGCTGCAGACGCGTTGTCGTTCTTCTTCCAGTCTTTGTCTAAAGACTGGAAGAAGAACACGTGGGGGGACTCACAAGCATCATCATTCGGCCTCCTCGTGTTGAACATGAAGGCCGGGTAGCTAGTGTTGATAATCCATGGCTGGAACGTCTCGAGGGGCTTGATCAATGTGCTTCTAGGGATGATGTTCTCGTATATGTAAGCAGAGTAGCCCCAGGAAACCGAGACAGACCAGTTGCTCTCCCTATGATAGCAAATGGTCTGCTGCGCGAGACGAGATTGGTCGACTTCTGCTGCTTTCATGAGGTGTTGAATGGCTTCGGGGCGGTCCATGGAGGGGAAGATTGGTTCTATGGTGTCAAAATGGTGAAGGGTTAGCAAAGGGGCTTGTGGATGAGTCGATAGAAAGCCTGAGATGTCACCATGGAGATCAATCTGAAACATTTGAAGCTTTTTTGTTAGATACTAGGGGGTACAAATTGTAATGGGTTGAAACATGAAACAGTAAGTACTCTACTTCACCTGGTGAATTCCCTTCTGATGAGCAACAGCAACTCCAATTTCAGCCAAACAGGACTGAGCCATATGGTCACTAACAAAAAGGTGTGGATACCTCTCAATGCAGCCTTCGATCTTGCTCGACAATGCCTCGACTAAGGGCCAGCTCAAAGCATAGCCAGCCCCACCATATGCCATGTCGAATGACAAGTCGGCATTGGACTTCACACACTCCGAGTTGCCTCCAATGTAATGGTACTTGGTGTGATCAAACTTGTTTAGTACCTCGACCAAGTTATCCACAAGCACCAATGTGTCGTCGTCGCAGACCATGAACCATCTCAGCCCTTTGTTGGCTTGATCACCCTGTCTGTACATGTCGAGGATGGCTCGAAACATTCTGACTTGAGTCGGGCTCACGAGTTTCGGGTAGACCCTTAGGTTGGTGAAGTTGCTGCTGACTCGGTAAGGTGGGGATGTAAGGGGCCATGGTAGGAACTCTGATGTGGGCTCCTTGTCTAAAAATATATAACCTGCAAGCAGGAAGAATTATAGTTCAAACTTCTTGTGATTATGGAAAGGAAATTCTTATCGTTTATGTTGTTACCTCTTGTCACATTTGGTCTCCACCAGGCCTCTATGTACTGCTTTCTCCATGTCCAGGTGGGCAAGGAGCCTATTACGACGAATCCCACGTGGCTGATCTCGGTTGATGAATCTGGTTTATCAGATGGAAGAGGAGCTCTACTGCCATCAGTACTACTGCTCCATTTGTGTGGAAGGGTTAGAAGAGGAAGCACATTAGTGTTAGCATTGATGCTTTTGCATTGTGCTATATGAAAGAAAACATTACCAAGTTGTCATGGATGGGGAAGATGGCCATTTGGGTTGAAGACTGGTGAGAAGATCTGAAGCACTAGTATAGTTACCATTGACATGGTTGGACCAAACCGTGTAGAACGCGAAAAGTACAAGGCCTGAGATGGCAATGGATTTGCTTAGGGTTTCTGGATTAAGATGGTGGAAGGAGACATTTGGGGATGCAGCATTGGAGGTGGGCATTGTGGACAACTTCATTCATCTCAATGGCTAAATGCAGAAAAATGAAGGTTGGGTCCTAATTTGGGAATAGAACAGTGAAATGTTTCTTGGAATTAAAGTCTCTTGATTAGTTTTTTATCTAAATCTAAAAAAACATATAAGCGTTTTCTCAAAATGACGTTCAGGGATTCAAATTTCCCATTCATCTGCGCTTCCACGTCAGCGAGCATTAACCAATGGCAATTCGTTTCCAAAATGCCCTCCGTGCAGTAACCGCACACACTTTTTTAATATTATTTATTATGTGTGGCCGTTTGGGGAAAAAAAACTAACGATAATGACTTATCCGTTTTATGAGTGAATACTTAATATCACCTTTAAGTTTCTATTGTATATGTTCTTTTTTTTTTTCTTCTTTTGACTCTTGGGAGTTGGGACGTATAGTTTAAGTGGGTTACTCAAAATTATTTAACCCTGCGTAATACTTAATTAAAATAAGAATATTTCATTAAACAACAAACAACTTAATTATGCATAATGGGATTTTATTCCTTCCCAATAACGAATTAATTATTTAATTATTTTTTCAGCCGTTGAATTTTTTTGACATCAATATAAATTAGAGAGGTTGAACCATTATGTGTGCATGATAAATGTTAGTAGAGTTTTCAAATTCAATATGACATGTATTAGAATGGAGGGTAAATTTTTAGTCTTTAGGTTGAGAGAGAGAAAACTACCAGCATAAGGAAATTAGCAATCCTTAATATCACACAAATAATATTGGACATTATTCTCTATCCTCAAAATCATATGAATAAAATTAACCACTAGTCAATATTGATCAAAAAAATAAATCGAATGTCTAACTGAGAAATGTGTATTGTTTAAATATAATACTACACAATTATTGATTGAATGTTGGTTGTTCAGTTGAGAAATAAAAAATTACTTAGTTAGATATCATACATATATTAAGAGACCACAAATATATTTGTGAAAATGAATTGTTAAAACATAAATTACTTAAAATTTTATAATAGTCTAACCATAATGAAAAAATATTTGATTAATTAGATACCATACGAAATTCACCCAACTGGTCGGGCACAAAGCTAGTTTGTTAAAGCTAAGATTGCTGCTGAATTAATGTTCCCTGCAATTCTTTCTATTGACTTTTTAGTCTTCCTTCATGTGTGCTGCCTGCCACTGCATACCTGAAACCTTTACAATTGTTCAAGTTAAAACTATGAACATAGAAGGGTAGTTCAGGTCGAGGATGATAATTTCGACATAGCCTACTCTCTCGGATTTGACACAACCTATTCAGACGGATAGGTGCGGATCTTGTCACTACTTCATCCGCTGTGATACCTCTCATTCTACAATTTAGTTAGAATCAAGTGTGAGCTTCCCACACCTAGATCAAAGGACAATAATTGCAACCCGCCCCATTGTCATTCCTGAATCCAGACTTTTCATAGCTCAAATACTGATCCTTCTGCAAAGTCGGCCTGCAAAGTGCTCGTAACATAAAGTCATAATCTATGGAAACTAGCTAGTACTCCTAGGATAAGAAAAGAGTATATTTTTAAAGTTCTGCAGTACTTGACACAAGCAAGCAATGAGCGAGTTTGACAATAGCTTTCCTTACTGGAAACAGGACCCAGTCTTTTAGGTCTTTTTGCTTTGAATGGAAACAAAGGGCTCTGTTTGACCCTTAAATAGCAAGCAATGCATGTGCAGAAAAGAACCATCCTTAGTTTCACCTATTCTCATGGTACACACATGCCCATATTCTATATAATATGCTCTGCTTGGCTCAAATTGATGCAAAAGGGCATGTAAGACTTTAATGGAAGAGTGCAGAAGGGAGAATGTTTGCATATCCAACAACCATACCAATATCACAGACAGAATCTTATCGATAGGATTGTTCCATGTGCAAATTTTCCATCTCAACAAAGAACAGTTTCCCAAATTGGCCACAACACCGGACCGCAGAAGCTTTCCGAAATGGAGACAATGAAAACAGGATGAATGCTGGAAAGGAGTTTCTGTACTCAAGATGTATGAAATCCAAATATCAATCTTATTTCGCTTCCTCTCTACGTTACAATTCTACGTATTTTAATCAACTCTAAGCTCTATTCTCTACAATACAGATCTACCAAATCCGGTCCCCAGTTCGATATCCCAATGTATATCAAGTCTCATTTCCTCCTACTACATTCTTTTCATCATCATCATCATCATCATCATCATCATCATAATTAAAAATATCGAACATTTAACTAACTTACTGATCTCACGATTCTCGTGGCCCATCGAAAGACTGAGTCTTTCTCAAGTTCCAATGGAGTCCCTCATGTATGCTGCGAAGGAAGTCTCCCGTGGAATCCACAGAACAGGCAGTGGGGACAGGCCATGGAGCCATGCGGCACACAAGTGCATCGCCAGCTGCCAGCTGCTTCCTGTCCTTCCCGTCAAAGGATGCCCAAGCAGGGCTCCTGCTGTTGAAAGGAACTTGCACTCGTACAGTGACATTCTCTGGAAGTATCAGAGGCCGAAATGACAAGGAATGTGGGCAAATTGGCGTGAAAAGAATCCCAGGCACCTGCAAATAGGAAGACACCAGATTTATGATTTGCCTCTCATCTACCCTAGAGATAGAATGAACTGAACTTTTCCAAGAGGTGAATGTGTATACCTGCGGGTGAACCATTGATCCTCCAGCTGCCAATGAGTATGCAGTGCTTCCAGATGTAGTGGATAAAATCAAACCGTCTCCTTGAACAGTCGTGACGAACGAGTTGTCACAGTAGCACTCCAGATTCGTGAGGTATGATGATATCCCGCGGTCGATCGTTACCTCATTAAGCACGAGTATCGGTTCCTCGGTCTCATACTCGTTCTTAGCTTCATCTCTAATGACATAGCACTGTAGCCTGTGCCGCAGTGTTATGCTGACTGGACCCCTCAGGATAGAATCTAGGCAATCCCGGTAGTGCTCACTGTCTAGATAATGTTAAGAAGCCAAAAGTGAATTTTTTTAGTCTTTAGACGAGTTTAAAAAGTTTCCTAAGTAATCGTTGTAAAAGGATACGGAAGGGTGTCATGAAGCCAAGAGAGCCTAAAGAGAATGGGACGATAGGAGGGACTGGTCCTTTGAACATTGATGCAGCCTACAAATAAAGAGGATGTATGATATATGAATCACAACAATTAAAGATGGCACAGAGGAAATGCATATATTACGTAAAAAGGTAAACAAGACGTACCCAAAGAACAGTGCCATCACCACCAAGAGTCACCACAAGGTCAACCTTTGAGTGCAGGCGTGAAATTTCTGAATCTGGAATATTCGGATATCAAAGCCCAAAGGACTCAAATCATGAGACTGACATACTTGTGTTGAGTGAAAAATCTCAACAAAGCTTAGGCATGATAAAGATGGTCCCATGAAGCTTTTGAGATTCACACGGCATGAAACAAGAGGCTATAAAACTACAGAACAAGTGCCTGATAATATGGAAGGGAAGTACACAGCAGGAGCTCACCATCTTTCCAACTCTGCACAAACTTGAAATAAGATGACTCGGCCAAAAGTTCAGAGATCACTCGTGGTTCGACAAAAATATTCAACTTCTGATGCTCTTTCAACCATCTGGATATTGACAATATAAAAATCAGTAAATTAAGAAAACATTTCCGATTGGTTTACTACATTCCTCTTAACCATCAAAATTTTGAGGAAAGCTGAAACCTGCAGAAAAAATTATCACATGTTTGATAAGACGGGGCAATATAATCGACATACCATCTCAAAACAAAAACAAAATCATACCTTGTGGAATAATACTAATTGGTCATGATATCAAAGTCACCTAATATCATTACAAAGGCATCGGGCTTGCAGGTTACACCATAAACCTAATTTTAAGCTTTTGGGTGCCCTCTCGTCAGACAAGTGCCAAATTTTAGCTAACAAGTCAATTCATATCTGAGAGTAAAGCTTGAAACAAAGTAACAAACTCTAGAACTAGTATAATACTAAATTTATGGTGCAGGAGTTGGAAAATACAAATCAAGAGATTGGAATCACTGGCACATCACAAGAAAACATAGGAAGCAACTGATGCTGCAAGGAGAGCAGGAAAGATAGGTTTTCGGAACTCAAAATGCTTAACAATGAGGAAAGCATGTATTCAGACCTGACCATTTGTGCACATAGAATACGAACAGAAACCGAATTTGGTTTGGTCAAAATAAGCACCGTCTGTGGGTTGGTCTCCCACTTCAAAGAAATCTGAAAACAAAAGATGGAGGTTGGTGCCATTCAGACCCATATACACGGGGAATGTACACAAATGAAGTACACAGAATTGCATGAAAAAGTGACACTTTCACATGGCGCATGTTAGTACTAATCAGTGTCCCGCATTCCAATAATATTGTACATATTTTTATGAGGGAAGAATCCTAAAAGCTAACAACTTAATCCAACCAAATCTATATCGAAAAGCAAGAAGTAACACCTGCTTACTGGTGCGTCCTGCAGTTGTGATGTTTCCTTTTTCAAATGATACAATATCATGTTTGTCCTGATTGCCATCGTCACCCTTGCACCACCAGGATAGCTTGAAAGACGCCTGTTTCAGGGTAGGAATTTGGATGACTGGATTAGGTGTCTTCATTGCATTAAGATTACCGTAGGGTAGATTAAATCTAAAATTTTCAGTTCAATCATCAAATGAATGGACCTAGACAAACAATTATGCACACAATTAAAAAGATAGTGCACAGCCGAAATGAATTACCTTTCTCATCATTCTGTTTTGAACTGCCTTTGCATCAGAACTAGCCCCTCCGTCCTGGAGAATTTCATGAGAGCAAATACCATTTACCAAGAAGTCTTCAGATTTTCCGTTCGCGTGATTTCCTGGCTCATATGAGTCGGTTGAGGTCTCCGGCCTTTGACAATCAGGACCATTATTCTGCTCTCTGTGAGATGGGTCTGCAATACAATCTGTGGAACTCATTACTATAGATAGGAGGAAGATAAAATAATGAACAAACCATGTTACAGAGCAAATATTCATTTCAAAGTTGACATCTGTTCTCTCTTGGTTGGAGTTCATCTCTCAAGTTAGCACCTACACTAAGAGAATATATTTGCAAGAGTCATTACAACAAGAGATCAATTAGATCCTATCCAACAAAGAGGGGGGGAAAGGAGTAGGGTGAACGGTAACTGTTAGTTGAAGTTACATCAGACGGCAATAATGTCCTGTAAGAGAAGAGTTCAGGTTGGCTATCTACATAGTCACTAAACATATCTTGTAAAAACAAAGCCTAGCATCAGTGCACTAATAAAAAAAGAAGAATGGTAAGTCTATCTTCAGGAAAATTGCAGTTACAGAAATTCATAACATCTGTTTCCAGTGAGAAAGCATAATAACCACTATCCAAAAAATAGATAATACAAAACTATTCTGATGAAAATCAGTGACGTGGTTTTATTCAAGGCAAAAGCAAAATACCTTCAGAAACACTCCTATTTTGTTCTTTCAAAACTTGGCAGCAAAAAACACAGGGAAGCACTAATCTTATCATCTCGATGGCACTAAAAACAGATGTTGGAGTACACCTCTGAAGCATTTCACACAAACTGTAGCCTGATAGTGGAATAGCCACAATCTGATAATAATGAGTCCAAATTTTGATTAGCTAAATTAATCAAAGTCTTCATTTATCAAAAGGTGAAAGCACAGGAAATAATATGAAATCTCAACAGGAAGTTTCACGGAAGAGATATAAAGCCCCAGATTAGTTACACAATTATGCTTCAAGAGAAAAGAAGGATCGATTAGAGACGGGGAGGGAGTATACTATTGAGGCAGTTCACTAAATACTGAGGTGGTCACCTTAAATTCCATTCACACTACTCTAATTGGTTGCATATATGTTATTATTAATTATCATTAACACAACTCCTCCAATCTATATATGCCTCAGCAACACAAGACAAAATGGTAAACTGTCATCATGGAATTCAGGCAGACAGACACTTCAATGCCTAACAACTAGAAAATTTAAGAAATATTTTGGTTTTCATGAAGACAAAAAAGAAATCCCCTTGTATTTCATCATGGTAATGGACTAACAAGGGTACAAAATTAGGTGGTAGTCAGCACAAAATTGTTAGGTCAAAGAGTATTTGTAAATCTAAGTTAGCAAAGAAGATCTCACAACATCGTCTAATGTTCCATTGGATAGGTCTGATAAAAGGAATTCTGACCGAACCCCTAATGCATTACCAAAAGATACATATGCATGAGGCAACTAATCATGTGATTTAACATTAAAAAAACCTTTATGGTTGCGAGCCATCTCCAGTTCATATCGACGCTTCCATTCAGCAGCCTCGGCCTGAGCCGAAGCTTTTCCTTCAGCTGCTCGTCTCAATGTCTTTGCAACAGCTAAGGTGCAAAAACCACAGATCACAGTAACATTTCTGCATACTTGTTCTAGAAGGTGAAATGAGAAAACAAAAAGAAAAGAATCCCAACACTTACTTCTTAGAGCCTCAGAGAACTCTATAAGATGATCATCAGTGCCTAAGATTGGAGTCTGCTGAAGAAGCTCCTGCACTGCCTTCTCTGAATGGAACAGAGACAGCGAATCGCTAAATTCACTGACACCGTTTTCAGGACGTGCGTATTGGATGTTGGCATCTCCAGAAGCGTTCTACATTATCAAAAACAACATAGGTTTCAGGCGCCAAAGCCAGGGAGAGATCACATTACATAACACAGTCATCAGTTTAGTCCACCAAGTACTGAGCTTGAAGCTCTAAACGAACTACAACCCCATTTCGGAATTCAAAAACCTAACCAAGATTGTTAGGAAACAGAGGAATGAATGTCTACAACGTTCATTCCAGCTACACTACTCTAATTCTAATGATCAAGACCAAAACCAAAACCTCTTGCTATTAACTCTTCCAAATCAAAAGCTAAGACCTTTACGCCTCTCCGGCAACTCTCTCTCGGCCTAATCAGCTAGGCAACAAGCCAAAAAAATTGCGATTCAACTTCCAGAAAGCCATGGCAAAAAACAGATCAAACTACCCCAATTCGAAAACCCAAAAAATACCGAGAACCCAATGGTCAATAAAGACAAACCGATCATCTAATCAGCACAATTCAACGAACCCAATTCAGTGGAAAAAACCAGAAACATAAGGAGAAAGAGAGTTACAGTAGAATTGGGCTTGCTGGGAGCCATGACAGAGAGGTTGCTTGAAATCAAACCGAATTACCGAAAACCCAGAGAAGAGAAGAAGGATGTAGATTCCTCTCTTATAGGAGACGGAAATTCTCCACTGAACATAAAAATGGGGACTTTTTCGCCAAGACAAGAGGGTCAAGACTCAAGACGAAGGTTAGGTGGGAGGGAATTGAAAGGGTTGTAGCTGCCATTGTCCCACGTCCATCGACCAACGGCCGCAAGCGGCGGCGTAAGAGGAAGGAAGAAAATAAGAAGAGAGATTTTCCTGTGGGACCCTTTGCTTTAAAAAAACGCGTGGCGAAGTCAGAGACGACTACGATGCTAAAATGGAAAAATCAAGCTCTTAACTTTTTTACTTATAAAAGCTTCGAATTAACTGAACCAGAAAACAAATTTCCCCGTTGAAGATACCCGCCATTCTTCGCGCCGGCGGCACACATGTGGGAAGTAGGAACGGTAAGTGGCCGGCGATTCAGAAAAATCGTGCATCACTGTTCGAAACAGAACTGATTAGACGATGAAATTGGCGAAGGCCAATGCTACTCTGTTAATTCTGGTTCGCCAGTGGGATGGAGCTTTTTGTGCTCCTCGATCGATGGATCGATCAAACAACACCGTGGACAGGAAGAACTATCCAAGTCCGACTAGGAGAAGGCAAACTACAACGACGGGTAGCAACGGAATATGCCTATTTAAAAGGATGGGTTTTTTTTCCCCCTCTTCTTTCAATCTGTCAGTTTGTCTACAGTCTACATATGGCCATGGTGACTGGAAACTGCATTTCGGATTGGGATCTGCCGCTAAGCTCACTCCTCCCCTGTTCTTCCTCTAGAAAAAGGCGTCGGATCTGTGCAGAGGGGAAAACCCCTCCTCCTCCTACACAGATTAGCAAATTGGGAGAAGATCTCCTCGTAGAGATTCTGATTCGCCTCCCTAACCCTAAATCCGCCGGCCGGAGCAAGGCCGTCTGCAAGCTGTGGAGCTCGCTCATCTCCGACCCCGGCTTCGATCGCCGGTTCGTATCTCACCACCGGAGCAGGAACGAACGAGGCCCACCTCCGCCGCTTCTTTTCTCAGACGACCCTCACTCCATACTCAGCTTCCTCCCCGTGGCCGATGAAGATCGACGGGATCTCGTAGTTTGGGATTCCTTCAAGGACCTGATTCTATGCGGCTTTGAAGACAGCATTGATGCCGAGCCTGAAAGGTCCTACTTTATCTGCAATCCGTTCACCAAGCAGTGGATCGCCCTTCCTCTCGCGCCCAGAAATGGGGACTTATACGTGGTGCTCGGAGACAGAAAGAAATTGGCGGCAAGGTTAGTTTGTGAACCCCGCAGTAGCAGTATTAGCAACAATCATAATCTTGCACATGAACCATTAGCAGAAACTACTGCATTTGTTTATTCCGAGTATCAGTTTCGTGTGGTGTGTATGTATCAACTGCGGTCGGGCACAGCGATGGACGTGTTTAGCTCAGAGTCTGGGAGATGGAAGAAACAGGCTCTTGTACTATATGATCAGTTGAGATTGTTTCATTTCCGTGTTGTCTCGTGGAACAGCGAGCTGTTTTGGATGTATCGTCGAGCCGGTGATCCCCGGAGCTTACGACGGTTTGCTGTATTTAATCCTTTCCGCCTCAATACACCGCTCACTTCTTTGAATGTACCTTCTGAAATGTCGTCGGAAATGGCTGAGCGAAGGGGGAATCTTTCGATCTCACAAGGAACTGCGCACATAATTCTACTTGGAGTTGAAGGCCCGGGCAGTCGTTGCTCGAGGGGTGCTTTGAGCGTTTGGAGACTGGAAGAAGGTGGCAAGTCTTGGAGCAAACTATATGAAATGGCATTGAGGAACCCGACATTGTCTTCGTCGCCTTATATATGTAAGTACTGTCAGGTACTCGATCTGCATCCAGAGAAGCCGGAAATTGTGCTCTTAGCATATTTGAACTATCCCGATACGGGTATATTGTCCTGCAACTTGAGGACGGGAGAAGTAGAGATGCTTGCTGAACCAATGACATGTTATTTACACAATTGGAGGGTGTTCCAGCCTAGGGTGTCCTGCTGGCCTACTCCAATTCCAAGGTACGAGAAATTACGAGGTTACAATGGAAGCAAGGGAACTCTTAGGCGTTGTTTTAAGAAGCAGAAGAAAATTGTTAGGTATTGTGGTATTGGTTAATCATGTAGAAATTCATTATGTTCTTCCTGGCCTATTGCCTAACAAAAACAGCTTCTGTTATTTGTTTGCTGCTAAGATTAGTTTTCCTTGTGTTTTCAAAAGCTTGTTGTCGAACCGGCTTCTATTTCAATCCGTGTTGGTTGAAAGTAAATTGTGGTGTTTGCAATGTGATGATGATTGGAGCTATTTTGACCATGTTTCTCGATAAAAACACAAGAACCAGATTTTGTGTCATAAATACTACAGATATCATGAGTAAATTGTGCTGTAAACTCTGACAGAGGTAATAGTCAGAGAACTTATGAGTGAACTCAAGGAAACGAGACAGTGCTGAGCCAACTAGCTCAAACAAATGTATCGATCGCCACTGTAATTTCTTGGATCGGCAACTACAGGAAGATCGAAGAAGCAGAGTAGAACGTCGACAGATTTGAACTCCGAGGAGTTTCGAGATACTCGGTGACGTTGATTGGAACGCACTTTTATCGACAGATTGTGTAGAAACAAGACAGTGGAAGAAGATTCTTGCTGCTGAGTTAATATCAGCAAAAGCTAAAGGCAAAATACACTTGTATAGCCATAACTTTCACGTTTTTGACAAATATAGCCATTTCTATTCGAAAACCACAAATAGCCAAGAAATTGGATGGTCATGTGACAAATCTAGCCATTTTCGTTAGAAACTTTAACGGTGTTAGAAACTCCGTTAGTTAAATTAACGTTAGGCTGACTAGGATGCCAAATCATCGCACACGTCAGCGACAACTCAACCACACTTGCCACCATATCATATTTTAATTCAAAAATAAATTAGTTAATCAATTAATAACTAATTTAAAAACATAAAAATATTTATTAATTTTTTCCTTTTCAATATCCAGTCTCCTCTCCCTCTCTCCTCTCCTTCGTCTTCCCCATCTGTTCTTCAATATCCACCACCGCCGCATCAATCGTCATTCCCAACCAACGACCATTGCTCCCAACCAACGACCCGACCCCCTCCGTCTCCGAACAAATCCCCTTCCCTGCAACAAAAATCTCAAACTCAAAAATGGCACTCTCTGCTTCCGCCGCCATCGCAAGCCCCAAATCCCTCTTCCGCGCTCAAGCCCTTCCCTCCATTTCAAAACCCACTTGCTCGTTTTCTTGCTTCTCCTCTTCGCAACCTCAATTCGACAGAAATGCCAATAGCAACCCCTCTTTGAACTATGTTCCCAAGCGGAAGAATCGCATAGTTGATGTGGGCATCGGGCTGCTGTCGGCTTCGATTCTCGCTCTTTCTCCGATGGACGCCGACGCCACCAGGATCGAGTACTACGCCACGGTGGGAGAGCCTATGTCTCCGATTCAGATCTGCCTCACCGATCCTACCGCACAGCCAGCCCCTGCAGCTCCTTCGCCGCAGTTCTCTCCGCCTTCAGCTCCTCGTACTGGCTCGCCTTCTTATCCTCATCCTACTCTCCCCGGACAAAGCAACGACGACCAGTCTGAAATCCCAATTCGCCATCTCCACGCAGCGACGTTTCCAATCCGAACCGTGCCCAACAGATCGCCAATAGCCAGAGTCGGGCTTGATTTGGGAATCTGGGGATTTTCCTTGTCGGTCAGTTGGGACTACGCGTGGAGGGACTTGGGCTCATGGAGTTGCTCAGAAACTAGATCTGGAAACCAGATCGTTGGATTCACTCACCTGCAGATGTTGAATTTCATGGCGGCAATCACTGCGATTTCGGCGCAGTTCCAGATCGGGTTCTTCTTCCTGGTTTGAAGAAATCCCTTTCGTTTCTCACCACCGAACCCATCCTCCATCGATGAACTGATTGGGCGAATCTCGAGGAAGCAATATCAGCTGCAAGAGGGAGCAATGGGGATGGAGGATTTGGAGTCGGAGAGCGGTTGTTCACGACTGCGGGCGGGCGGTGGTTTGATGGCGTCGCTGGTGGGAATCGTAGGGGAAAGGAGGGATGAAGATGATATTGACGGCGGTCAACAATGGTGGGGGAGGTACAGGGAGGAAGATGAAGTTTTTTGTATAAAAAAAATTTATTTTTATTTTTCATTTTATGAACTCGGAAAAATTTAATTTGTGTCCTTTTTTAATAATCCACGTGTCCGACAAAGTATCGCCAGGTAAGCATTTCCGTCAGTCTAGTCAGAGTGTTAAGTAACACCGTTAAAGAGATGGACGGAATTGGCTATTTGTGGTTTTCGAATAGAAATGGCTATATTTGTCAAAAACGTGAAAGTTATGGCTATACAAGTGTATTTTGCCAAAGCTAAATCAAAGTTGCAGCTTTTAGAAGTTAAGTATTGTAAAATATTAGAGTTGTATCACCTTTTTGTATTTGAACACAAATAAGTGACTGTGTTTGTAATTAACCCAATCTGAAGTGACTGTAACCTTGGCGGGAGTAAATGAAATTTAAAAAATTGGCCCTAATCAGATTACGAGAAGGCAAACAGCAAACTAAAGGATTAGGGGTTTCTTCCTCCCTTCCTCTTCCTCTGCTCTCAGCCTCTCACGATTGTCTTCTCCTGTAGTTCCTTCCTTCCATAGTTCGTCGACCACCGGAAGCCTTTCTCCTCCGGTGGGGTTTTGTTGCTCGACTACCGTCATGGCACACTGATGTAGTGTTGTTTTGCCCTCACGTAGTCGGATTAGGATTACTAGAGAGTAAAGACCGACTTCTGTTTCAATTTCTCTTAATCGAAGTTTGATATATACAAAATCAATAATAAATGAAAATACCTACTACTGATCAACGACAATAATGGTCATAATGCGAGAAAGGATAACTCGGTTGGGTTCATCCATTCCATCGCATACCTATGACATAGTTCTTCCCATTGTCAACCCCCTCACTTTCAGTATGCCATCTTGTAGGGAAGAAATTCTGACCATACTTGTGAAATTACACCATCATTTCATAACTCTATCGGCAATGTAGAATTATATTGCACTCCATTTTGGACAAAACTGTTGTAGTTTGCTCGACGAAGAAATTCTTGATCATATAGGTACGTAGTAGAGAAAATTGTGTCATTCTCACCTCCATTATTTGAAACCTTCCATTTCCATCTCGAATAACCCGTCTAGAGCCTGTACCACATGTTCCCATCATAATCGCGTCGACATTGAGCTTATATATTCCCAGTTATGACTTCTCCCATCTATAGCTTTGCCGACTCAAGTCTCTCCCATCTCTGCTCACCTGATGCACCAATAACTCTTCAAGGTAAGTCACCTAGATATAATTTCACACACTTCCAATTTCATGTTATTGAACATGTGATTTTTGCGTTCTTTCCACATATTATTGGGCTATTGCAAAAGAACATAGGTCTTCATTTGATACTGTTTCCATTACTTCACATAGCCTACCTTTGCAATTTTGTTCATCTCCTAATATGAACAAATTTTCCAGTAAACTCGGTCTCCAAACTCTCCCTACCCAAAGCTGTAGAACCTCATCATTAAAAAACATTAACTTTCTAAAACATAATTAACGTTTTTATTCCATATATTAACAATATATAAGATCATAACAATATTTTCTACGTAGATAGAGTGTAGTTGCACTCTACAATATTCTCAAGTCTCAACCGCATCGAATGAATCAGTTTTAGGAGAATCAACCCATAAATAAACTTCATTGGACTGAGGCTTAATGTCATAGTTGTCGTAAGTTGTCTTTCTTTATATTTTATTTTTTCTTTTGTTATTCGTCTCAAGGTTCGAACTCATGGTGGGTGGATGTTCTCAACCCTTTAGGATTCCTTCCTCACTGCATCACCCTCATCCAAAATTAATTTCATATCTTTCACATATATTTAATTGATTTATTGGAGGGAGGGGGAAAGAAACTAGTTTCAATATACATATATACAAAAGAAAATTTATTGGAGGGAGGGGGAAAGAAACTCATGATTTATTTCCATAGGGAGGAATTCTTCTCTCACTTGTCACCCTTCCTTGTGCGCCTCCTCTGCCAAGCCATGTCACCTCATTCATAATGACGTTTGTTATATGCAATGATCTTTATGAGAATTTTTTATTAATAAGAAACTGAGGTTAGATTACTTCTACATATCATGAAATGAGAGCTCATCGAGTTTTGATGACGCAAGAGCTCATTGTAAAGTACACCATCCATCGTGGCATGAAAGTTAGCATTCATTTCATAACCAACTATCGTGTTGTCTCGTGAGTAAAAGACTAATATGTTTTAAGACTAACGGCAATGGGGGAATAGGGAGTGTATGCTAAATGGCATGTACCCTCCTCGAAAATAGAAACAACATCCAATTTCATGAAGCACCACCTTATTCTTAGATTTCATGAATAAGTCGGTTGGTCTTCATTTTCTGAGTGTGTTCAGTTATTTACTTATTTTTTTGTTTACAATAATTGTATTGCCAGAAAAAGATAAGATCGATGGAAAAGAAAAGAGAGTTTAAGGAGAGATGATGACTAGAAAGATTCAAATAATGATGAGTAAGCTTGTTAGCATATTGGAGAAGATGAGTAGCACAACAATCCTAGTGTCAGTAGGATTCTTGTGAAGAAAGGAGTTTCACCAATGAAGAAATGTTTCTCAATTTTTGTTATTAAAGGGATGTCATTTTGGTTTGGTTGTCGTTAGTCGTTGTTATGTACGTTTAGTTTGTAATGGCCTACCTGGCTTTTTATCATGTGCCTGTCTGGACTTTATATTTTTGTTTAAGTTGTTAACTAGGGACGAAGCTAGTATTTTGATTTTAGAGAGGGCGTAAATTTTTTAAAAATTATACCTATTTGTTTTATGTAACAAAATAAGATAAGTAAATGGTTGAATTCATATTTGAAAAAATTATTAAATGGATGAGGATATATTTTTATTAATTTATAGTTGATTTCATTTTATTCATCGCTTAAAAATTAAAATGCACAATTAGTAGATGTTGAAGGTATCAAAAGATGAGCTAATTTGAAAATACACTCTACATCGAAGGATGGAAATGATCCAGCCTATCTGTGCAACGCCCTAAGAAATGCTAAGGATATTTTTTTATAGAGGGCGTAAATTTTTTAAAAAATTAGAGAGAGCGTAAATTTTGTAAAAATTATACCTATTTGTTTTATGTAACAAAATAAGATAAGTAAATGGTTGAATTCATATTTGAAAAAAGTATTAAATGGATGAGGATATTTTTTTATTAATTTGTAGTTGATTTCATTTTATTCATAGCTTAAAATGCACAATTAGTAGATGTTGAAGGTATCAAAAGATGAGCTAATTTTGCAGGAGCAAATGCAGTAGCTCGAAGTTTATGATTAGACCCGCATTTCCCTCCTTTCTGCAACAAATTTGTTAGTATAAGGGTGGAAAAAAAATAGTCTCAAAATGGGTTGGTTGTCAGGGTGAGAAATCGAGAGGATGAAAAGCGAGGGAAAACAGAAACAACATACATCTTCATTACTCAATTTCTTGCAGGATGACCTGAATAGTTACCTGAAAAAAACGAAGAAGATGCAAAAGTTCGATCAGAAACCAAAGCCTCGTCGAGAATTTAAATTTCAAGCAACAAACAAAAAGGACACTGCAAAAGCATTCATCTATTCAGCAAAATGATGGGTTTCCGTTTGAACCTCGATCCTACAACTCAGATGCAGGAGCAAAGCAAGCAAACGAGACAAGCGGAGAGGAGGAAACGGCGTCGAAAGATCAAAGATGGGATCTTTACGTCGCAACCGAGAATGGATACATTACCCCTATTCCAAATTCAAACCTAAATCACAATTGAAAAATCTCACCGCCCCCACCGCACGACCTCTGCTTCTCGCCGCCGCTGCGAGCTTGACGGGAAGGAGAGGACGAAGAAGAAAATACCGGCCGGCCAAGGAGGAACATGCGGTTTGAAATCTCGGCCAACCCACGTCGACCTCCTTCCTCCTCCTGCTGGGCGCCACGACGACGACCAACGACAAGCGGCAGGGTGGATTTCTTCCTCGATGGCAACCGGGGAGTGGGCTTCGTTTGGGTTTGGAGGAGGCGGCAGTGTTTTCGGGGAGAGGGTACTAAAGACGGTGACGGGAAGGGCTGGTGGTGTATTTGGGTTTTGTTAAGAATAGGGGCAAAATCGTCAGTTTGGATAATTTTAGGGCGATTAATTCGAATATTTAGGGGTCAATTAGAAGTTCAGTCCATGGATTTGGCGGCTACTATTGCCCTTTAGTTTTAGATTATTTTTTTTGCTGTTCTTTAGAAACAAATTTGTCTTTTTTGTTGCTCACGCGCTAATCTTTATTCTTACATATTTGGGTGCATCGTGTTCTTTACATTTATATTGATATCCACCATAGAGATGGGGTGGATGCTGCATTTTACCATATAGGTCGAGTTTTGACAGTCTCTTTTCACCACTATGATGTACACAATGATGAAGTTTTATTTCCAAGAACGAGACATATAGTATATATTGGTACTTTTAGTTGATTATGTTCGTGGATGACATTTTATTTCAGGTTTCTTCTTTATATTGTTCTACTTTTTGCAGACAACTGGAGCAGTTAGAGTTGAAATTGATAATAATTTGCGCCACAATGAATATCTTGACTACTATGGTCCAACTTATCAATTGCATGTCAAGGCTTCGGATATGAAGAACTTGAACTCTCGGAAAAATTTGGATGATATAAAGTAGTCATATCACTTTTAGTTGTTTACTTATTGTTGTGAGATTTGTTATTGCTAATAGTGATAAAAGTTTGCATCACATATTAATATTACTACAGAGAAATTGTGCTAAAAAATATCGGACAACTACCCCATGCACCGAGCGTTTAGTTTCATGAAGCACCACATATCTTTAGGCTTCATAAACAGTTTGGATGGTCTTCATTTTTTAAATCTTCTGTTTTCATACTTGTTATTGTGCTTAAAATTATTCTATTGCAATAAACAGATAATATCAATGGAAAAGGGAAGAGAGCTTCGATGAGAGATGATGAGTACGAGGACTCAGATGGTGATGAGTAAGTTTGTCAGTAGATTGGAGAAGATGAGATACAAAGCAATCCTGGTGGAAGTAGAATTTATGTGAATGAAAGAGTTTGAGAAATAAGAAACGTCTATTTTTCTGTGTTTATATTTAATAAAGGAACATCATTTTGATTTGGATGTAGTTAGTTGTAGTTAAGTACTATTGGTTTGTAATTGGCCTCTATCATTATGCCACGTAGCTACGATAGCGACTGCGGTAATTACTAGAAATAGTAATCGCCATAGTTACTAAGGGCGAATTGGGTATGAAAAATTATTTATTAATTAGCTTTTTTAATAAATTACATTTTAGTAAGTTTTTTTATTGATAATTTTTAAGAAGTTACATAAACATATTACTTAAAAAACTATCTCTCTTTCTCTCACTTCCATATCGACAACCATATATCTATCAATCCATTAAACAAACACTACTACTTCAAAAAATATCAATACAATTATAGAAATAAAACAAGAAATCAATACTAAAACATAAAATACTACCACTGCAGCCTACCTACCACTACCACAATCGTATACCACTTATTAATCAATATCATTTCAAATTTAACCAATACCAATACATGAAGATTAGTACCAATATCATAACATCAATACAAAACAAAATACAATTACATGATTATCAATCACCAATGCGAAAAACAATACAACTACAAAAAAAAAACAGTTTTCTCGCTACCGTACAAGCGGCAAAACGTTAGCAACATGTTCTCCCACAAGGGGGGGGGGGGTTGGAGAGAGAGATAAGGGGGGGTTGCAGTGGTGAGAGGAGTGGATGAGGGATGGAGTGGGGAGGGGAGGGGTGAAGGGGGCAGTGGGGTGGGTGGTGAGGGCATGAGAGGAGAGAGAGAGGCGGCGGTGGGGTGGTGAAGGGAGGGGAGGGGAGGGGTATGGTGGGTGATGATGGACTGAGGGGAGGGGCGGAGGGAGGGAGGCGGCTCTGAGGAGAGAGAAAAGCGGGGAGTTGTTGGAGAGGGAGGGCGGCGGCTCGGGTTTGGCTCGATATTGACGCGACAACAGTTAAGGGCACCTATCATTGTCTGATGAATTTGTTAGCTTTGGAGTTTTCTTCTTTACTATTTGATTTTCGTAGTTTTTTTCTTCAGTACAGACGTTGTTATCTTCAATAGGAACTTTTGGATTTTGATTACATAAATGGTTATCTCCAACATATGGTGTTAGCTACTCGCGTTTCCTCTAAGTTCTGTATATTTGTATGATTTAACATTGTTTTCTATGTTGTTGGGTAGGGACTACAATACACTAAAACTAAATATGATGTTATATCAAAGGCTGATGTAAAGTTTGTTCGACGAGAGCGAAAGAGGCATGAAGAGAAAGGTATGGTTCTCTCCTCCATATCCCACTGTCTATCGAGTATAACAGTTTCACGAAGTCATGTCTTTTTTTTTGTATCTAGATATATGTAGGACCTTCAAGTATTGTAAATCTCACCACAAGCATTGTAGTTTGATGTCTTTGCTATAATGAATCTTTATTTTCACCCTATGTTAATCGAACTTAACACGCTCAAATCTGAGGACTATGATATGGTAGTTGACTTAGACGAGGACAAGTGGAACTTAGATTTTTAGGGACCATTTAAGTTTCATTATTTGATTTTTCCAGTTTGATGCCCTCGTTCTGATATTCATCTTCTCGCCTAATTGGCAATGGATGTCAATCCAACTTATCCTGGTGGCTATAGGCAACACCTCCTATATGTGTATTCTTTTATTTCTAATAAGTTCATTGTCTTTTACCCCATGGTTATTGATTATGCTAAGAAGTAAAAAAGACAGGTGATCTTCATATATTAATCTCAAGTACAAGTAGATACATTGGTGAGTTCAATGCAATTTTAACATCTTGGCGACTAAGCCTCGCGGTTAGCTCTCTATCTTAGAGGTTAGTCTTCTAGTCCGAAATGTCTATTGTTTTTATTTATTTATTTTTTCTAAAGCATATTGTTATGGTCTTAGACTTTTACCCGTTTGTTCCCTTTGAGGGGAAGCCTTTGATTTCGAGTGCAACGAGATTTCGAAATATGTGGCCTGGTTGATTGTTTTTACTAGGAAGAACACTGGGGCTTAATGTATCAACAGTCTGTCTGCTCTTTTGGGACCACTGGCCAAACACAAAAACAAAATGATAATGCCTTGCCTCAATCATTGAATTCCATGTCAAATACTCAAACTTTTTGCTATCTGTAATGGCTCATGTCTTTTTAGCGTTGTCCTTCTCATAGTTGTCAAGGCGCATAGTTAAAAGTGAAATTTTTTTTGTTCCATAAATGTAGCTATTGCCATTTTATTCTCCCAATCCATCATGTGAACATTGGAAGTTCAGTTCTTGTAAGAAATTTCGGCCCGATGTCATAGAAATGACAATTCTCACGATTCCTGACTCAAGAATCATGATGATTGAACCCATTTTGAGGCATGAGAGAATGAAAACATAATGGCAGCAAAACTTGGATTGCTGTTGAAACTTATTATAACCTCTCTTCTTCTTACAAATCCATATTCTAGGCTCATTTTCTCTTTAAGAAAACAATTTGGGATTTTTCCAGAATGTGAAGAATGTTTAAAACATAGTTGCAGGAATTGTGCCAGAAGAACATATGGCCTTTGCCAAGGTACTTTGCAATAAAAGACGTCCCAGATCACAGTCCTCGCTTCAAGGCCATTGTTTCCATTGATGAGGCTTCTCCTTCTTGCAACTCCATCAAACAAGCTCAAAATGAAGCTGCCAAATTGCCTTCCGCCACTTTACTTCACCACATTCGAGTAAAAATTACCAAAATCTCTGTATTTCATATTTGGAAAAACAAAACAGAAATTTTGAGACTTGTCTTGTGATTAATACAATTTGCACGTTCTGAAGTACCAACAAATGGGTATCAAGACTAAATGCTTTGAATTCTGAAAATGACTTTGATGAGGTCCTTCAGGAGGCTGATTTTGTCAACTGATCCCCTCCAACTTTTCCCTCTTAACTCTTTGTTGTTTTTCCTGGTATAATCTATGTTAGGATTTTCACTAAATATTGCTTCTCTCTCTGTTAAATTTCAGGATGAATCTGTACTTGGGTTTAAAAGAATTTGTTGCATGAGCTACTTCAGAGAGAAAGGCTCCCCTGCTAGTTTACAACACTATGAAGACTGATCCTTCACATCTTCCTGCCTTCTTTTCCTCCGTGGAAGTGGGTGTAGAGAAATTCCAAGGTAAAGCAAGGAAGTCCAATAAGGAAGCCAAGATGAATGCAGCTAAAGTTTCCTACACCACTTTGAAACTCCTTCCAACAAATCTCTTGCCCCTGGTCCTATTGTAACTGAAGGTTGCGAAGATGTTAAAGAAGTAATAAACATGACATCAGTTGTAGCAACAAGGAGTTTTGATGGATCAGTCACAAAGAAGCAAGAGCCCTCCAATTACTCCCACTCCTCTCAAGTACTTTAGTGTCTTGAATGATTAAAAAATGAAGTCACCTTATAAAAAAAAATCTCTTTCCCTTATTCCATTTCTAGCCGACAGAAGAAAGTTAGGAGTGAGTTGATCCTCAACAAGGTCAGGGTCTATCCCTTGATAATCATATATTGAATTCCTTCAAGGAGTTACAATCATGCCATTTGGTGACTATCGATGGATTGTTATCTGCTTAGAGCTCCATGATCAACTGGCCTGACCTATCATATATTTTCACCATTATCTCTATCTTCTTGGTGTTGAAGTTAAAAGCGAGTACCTGGAAAGTTCAACGATGTATGGTAGAAAGTTTTAACACATTGTAATTAGTTTGAAACAATGTCAAGGCTCAAGTGCCAATTACTTTATGGATGCCTCGTCCAACATTCATATATTTACTGACATATTTATCATGCCAACTTGGATTGTATGTGAATATTTACCGACTTTAAGTCAAGGAGCGTTGATGTACACAAACTATGCATATTTCGTTTTTTAGCTCTTTTCTCATGCCATCAAATTGATTAGTTCCAACCCCTTTTTTAAAGGATGGATTTCATACTATTAGCGAACAGTCTCCAATTAAACCCTACAAGTTGAAGTCAGAATGCATTCTTTGTGTCCTTTATTGTTGGTTTTTGCTAGTCGAAGAACCATTGTTTCGAGAGTCAAGAAGTTGCACTCGCTCATTTGGTGTTTATGAGGATGTTGCAATTTCGAGTTTGGTTTCAGTTTTACGATACACTCTCTAGATGACCGTGTTAGAACAATATGTAAGGTTCAACTGCCAACTTGTGATGGTATGATCTCATTTATATGCATTTGGCTTCATCTTGTGGTGAAATAGAACTGTTCCATTCTATTTTTTGGGTAGAATCTAGAAACTGTTCCATTCTTCCGTTTGTAGAGGTTCGGTTCATTCTTTGTTTAATATTTGATGGTGCATTTATTTAATTTTATTAAATTAATGGATGATTATCTACAAAAAATATTAAGCGTTTTCCAGAACTGCCGCTTAGGGATTCAAATTTCCACACCATCCAAGCCTCCACGTCATTTAATATCTTCCCCAAGAGACTTCCTTCTCCGTTCCCAACCCCAACGACACCTTTATAGGAAAAAAAAGCAAAAAAAAAAAAAACAAAAGAAGCCCAACGAACCGAGAAATTCTTCGATGCACCGGGTGTACCACGTCACCCATGCACTGGCCCAATAGATGGTTGACACGTGTTCAAGGTTTAAAAAAAGCAATTGCGGGTACCGCTGCGGAGTAAGCAGGGGCAACTTCTCCTCCACCGCCACCGCCACCGCTGACGTCCACCACAACTTCAGTTCTCTCCCGCTCTTCGACTCGCCAAGCTTCTCAGAACCTCAATCTGAACCCGACCCACCTCCCTCCCAGTCCCAAAGTTCAGATCTTGGCCACTAAAAGTTCCTCCCATCACAAAAGCAACGCCACCAACGAGAAACCCAAGAGTTCCCCGACGTCGATGCCGCTATGGAGAAGAAATCCTTTGCGGTCCCCAGAAGGATGAGGATGAGCTTTGATAATTGATGCTTCTTTTATTGTTTGCATATGTTTGATTTCAGTTTTAGGAATCGAGGGTAGGTTGTCGATGGAAATTAGGAACAGGCAGATAGGCACGGAGACGGCGCGTCGATTTCACCCCGCAAAGGTGCATCTTGTCTTTTTTACCTTTTAACACCTTGACACGTGGCGATCTCCAATTGGGACGGTGCACGGATGACGTGGTACACCCGGTGCACCGAAGAATTTCTCCAACGAACCCTCCTCCCCCTTCAATTGCAGCCATTTGTTGTCCCAATTCCCAAATCTGCCGCCGGGAGTTTTCCCGGACAATTTCCAAATCAAACCTCCTCCATCTTCCCCTTGCCATTTTATTCACGATTATCACTTCCTGCATAAGCTCTTAGCCGATTCCGTTATCGCAAATACCATTCCACTACCGCCGCAGGCTTTCCAACCCCACTCCTTTCTCTGTAATTCTCCCTATTTTCGGACTTGATCCCAGCGACTAGACTCCGCACGTTCATCAGCCGACTTTATATCTCATTATTTTTTGGGCATTGCTATTCGTCGCCCTAAAAATTTCTTATTCGTCGCCCTAATTAAATTACATTTACTCTAATACCCTTAGCTCAATTATTTGTCTTTCACAAATGGTAGCCGGCTCGCCAAACCCTAGGTAAACTAGAGATCCACTTTTCCCGAATAGGAAGACTGTTGTTCTTAGCATGCTTGTCCTTCGTTTCTGAACTTTGTCCAACCCATTTGATTTTTTCCTCTTAACTGGTGCAAAAGGTGTATATATATATAAAAATTGGATAAACCCTAGATATCTGCTAATCATCGTCCAACTCATAGTGAACTTTATGCGCTGGACTTTATTTCAGGCAAGAGTTGAATTCAAGAAAGCGAAAGTGGAATATCGAGCTCCTCGTAAACTTCTGCAATTTTTTTCTCCCAGTTAGCTGCGGCAGATTGGGGTTGGGGCAGGAAGCGAAAGTGGATTCTGGGTGAGGGCGGCGGATGTTTGGTCGGCGGTGAGGAAGGGATTGTTTGGTTAGGGCTAGAATTGAAATTGAACTGAAGGGTAAATGTGTCAATTTGTTGTGTTTTAGGGCGATAAAATTTGAATTTTAGGGCGACGAATGGCGATTCTGTATTTTTTAGGGTTAATAGCATTTTCTGCCCCTGTACTATTGCGATGTAACAAACGTGCCCCTGTACTATTTCTTTTTGCACAAAACTACCCTTCTACTATTACATCGTAACAGACCTGCCCTTCCGTTGGAATTTCTGTTTACTCGCCGTTAAAGAGGGCCGGAAATTACCCAACTACCCCCAATCCCCATCGATTCCCAGAGGGTTCTTCCCAACTACCCCCAGTCCCCATTCCTCGAAGAAATACCTCTCTCGTCGACGAGAGAGACTGCCGACCGACGACCCGACCCTCAAGCTGCGACCCTCCGAGTCTACCGACGACGGCGAGCGAACCGGCGAACCCTCTAGTCTTCCGACGACGGCGAGCGAACCCTCGAGCAAGCCTTCTCCTTCCTTCCGTCGGAACAGAAGCAAGCCCTCCTGGACAGCCGTCTCCCTCCGCTTGAGCAGAGACCGAGTCAGCTAGCAATCTTTTCCGTGGACAGCCTTCTCGTTCCAATCCAAATATCACTCTTGAGCCGTCTCCCTCCGCTGGACAGCCTTCTCGTTCCAATCGCTGCTCATTTTATCTGTCATCGACTCCATCACAAGCAATAGTCCAACAATCCAAGAGGTAAATCTTCGAACCCTAAGAATACATGATAGGGTCTGATTGAATTGAATCTATTGACTTGATGAAGTAGAACAGCAGCAGCAGACATGATAGGGTCTGATTGAATTGAATCTAGGGCCAACAACATCCTGAAGTCGACGTTTCCCCTTCTGCGCGGGACAACAACATCCTAAATAGGGGAAGCTGTTGTTGCGGCTTCCACCGCTTCAATTCCCAGGTGTGTTATCCTCCATTGTTTCTTCTATTGAACGTTTCTTCCCTGCACAGTAGATGTCGTGTGTATATATATATATATATCCTTGGATTCCCTCCCCCATGACATTCATCCCGCCCATTCTTTAGCGTCAGTTCCAATGCTTCAAGTTCCATGTATTCACAATAATAAACTTTAATGTAGAACCAATTAGTTAATCTCCAATGCTACCGTCAGTTTCTTTATCTCGAATTCTAATGGTATAATGACTACCACCCTCCTCCAGTTTTCAGTTTCAGACTATGTTCCCTGCAGGATCGAGGTTCAAACGGAAACCCACCATTTTGCTGAATAGATGAATGCTTTTGCAGTGTCCTTTTTGTTTGTTGCTTGAAATTTAAATTCTCGACGAGGCTTTGGTTTCTGATCGAACTTTTGCATCTTCTTCGTTTTTTTCAGGTAACTATTCAGGTCATCCTGCAAGAAATTGAGTAATGAAGATGTATGTTGTTTCTGTTTTCCCTCGCTTTTCATCCTCTCGATTTCTCACCCTGACAACCAACCCATTTTGAGACTATTTTTTCCCCCACCCTTATACTAACAAATTTGTTGCAGAAAGGAGGGAAATGCGGGTCTAATCATAAACTTTGAGCTACTGCATTTGCTGAATTCAAGAGGTGCTGCTAAGGATACCACCAGAGTGATGGCTAGTGTGGGACGCTCTGAATACAAGGTTCTTGATTTTGGTTTTTGGATAGTGCCTCATTGTATGTAGTGGAAAAAAAGAACCATTCATCTGGTTCTTCCTTGTCTTGTCTGATGAATAATATCTAGTTGTTAGAATTGATTGTAGGTTTATGATTATTTGGTGGGGACAGTTGCCTGCAATCAAACTAAAGAGCACATCAATGAGTTCTTGGAAAAGTCTCAGAAATTTAAGCTTACCAAAGCTGAGATTCTGAGCATCATCAACACCAGGCCTTCCCAGTTAGTGGAGCTTGACCCGGTTGGTATACTTTCTGAGTTTTCTGCTTTTAGGGATCTTGGTTTTGCTTTATTTACATAGTCTGCTGTTCTTACAAAGAGATTCGATACACTGTTGCGGCTTGTGTTTCACTCAATTTTTACAACTGGGTGTGATATCAAACCTGAGACATTCTAATTCCCGCCAAAGTCTTAACAAAGCGTCTAGTTGTACCCTTGGAAACATTTTGCTTCATCAAGATGAGGCAATAGCTTCACCATCTGCACTTTTCGCTTGTATGCATTTGGGGTTCTTACTTTGTTTTGTACTTCATGTCAGCCATATCTATTGTGTGGCTAAGCCCCTTTCTTTTCCCTATTTTATTATGTGCCGGCAGATCGTAGAGCAACAAGAACAGCGACCAGAGCTTGATATGGAAGAACTGTTGGAGTTGATCTTGCAAGTTTTGCCACCTCCTCCATCAGAAACAGAACCAGAACCTGAACCAGAATCAGAACCAGTTGATGAGGACAACAATAAAACTGCAGATGCTGAAAAGAATGTTCCCGATGAGTAGACTAACTGTTCAGGGATCTTTCCTCTCGATACATAGACTGAAAGGGTATCAGTTGAACTGCATTGTTAATTTTTTTATCAGTTGTTGCAACAAGTACATGTTGCTGATGTTAGTGATCGGGTTAGTATGATAGATAACAGCAACAAACCATGATCAGTAGGGATCCAGGCCACTTGTTCTTTTAGTGCATGCCAGGCTATAATGTTACAACGGAAAGCTTCGGACAATTGTCAATGTTATGCTGTATGATATAACAGATTATAATTGCCTGCAATGCAGTTGTAGCTTATTTGATTTATTATCATCTCTTGGATTACTTGCCTGTTTGATATAGCAGATGCAAAAATTATGCTTTCTTGCGCAGGTTATTGGACTTTGTGTACATTGTGCTTTTATAAACTCTGCATTCATTCTAGTCTGTGTTTTGGTCTCTGAGATGCTGCTCAACTTGACGATGGCTTGAATGTTCTTTAGTTGGTGTTGTTTTCTCGAGTAGTTTCACCATCCCCAAATTTGCTGACCCTGAATTTCCCCCTTGTGAGCCGGTCAATTAACTTGACACCTCATTGTGAATCAAGGGAACATTTGGAGGCCTGATGTTTTTCTGCAGATGAAATTGTTTTATCATACAATTTCCATGAGCTGACTGACAAGCGAGTGAGAGTCGATATCGAGGCAAATGATTTGTCGAGATTGCAAAGCTTTATATTTCCATAGAGAAGGAAAGATAAACAACTATTGGAATTAAAAAGAATTCGGGCTTGCTTTCTCAATTCACATCTATGAGCGATGATTCTTCTATCTCTTGCTCGCTTCGATCGGACTCTGACAGCTTAGGGAAGAATGATGGGTCGCTAACAAGGCCTCTAAATGACCGCTCAGAAAAGGCCTACCTATTTTTTTCCCAATCTGTCGCTTGCTCGTCCCTCTCTCATGAAAATAATCTCTCCTCTCTCGGCGGCTTTGACTCATGTCTATAGCCAGTTGCTAAGACGATTCCCATTCAATCTCATTCAACGATCTATCAATGCTGCCCTTATTCTTTCTTTTAGGGCAATGTCTATTTTTTACCCAAACCTTTTTCAGATTCTTTTATTTTAACCAAACCTATAGAAATTCTATTTATTATCCAAACGTATTATAATTTATCAAAGTCTGGGCATTCATTCTGTTACCGTTACTTATTTCGTCCACGTGAGAGGTGGGAATTTGTTTTGTTTTTTGATAATCTTTATATTAAAAATAGTAAATGATGGTATTCTGACCGCCACGTAGGAAGTCAACTCATTATGGTCATACTTAGTCTGCATTACTAATAGAAAAGTTGACGGAGAGTTAACGTTTGGATAATTTTTAGGAATTCAATAGGTTTGGTTAAAATAAAAGAATCTGAAAAAGGTTTGGGTGAAAAATAGACATTGCCCTTTCTTTTATTATTTAAAATTCCTTTCTTTCTACTAATTCTTACATAAGCAATTTGCAGGAAGTAAACGAATCCTTCCGAACAACTATAAATAGCTTTAGCATCTTTTTTTTTTAGTTGAAAGGGTCTTTATAGAGCTAAGGGGAAGGTTTGGAACCTAGTAGCAGAATGGAATAAGTTTACCGGGCTGACTTTCATGCCAACACGAGTAGTTTAACTCATCACTACCTCGTAAGGGCATTGAGAATTTTTTTTGCTATAAACTTTTGAAAAAGTCTTCAAATAGCCTTTGCATAGTTTACGAATTCTGCTTAGTAGGGACCTAAACACAGGAATGGTTTTTATCAGAGTCAGACCACGCCTTATGACGGGAGAAAGGACGGATCACCTGTCGATCTGTGATCAACGAAAACGAATCCAATGGAATGGGATAGAGATTGACAAGCACAAAAGCTATATCTCATATCTATTAATTAATCTACGCTCATTGATGAGACGGCGACATAGAGAGAAGAAAGTATACCCTTTGACACCCCCCTTCTCACTTAAAAGTAAAGAAGAGATACAAAGGAATAAATATTTAGTGGGATTGAGGATGGAATCGAATAGCGAATGCACTTGCGGTTAAGACAGGTCCTGCATCTCCTACCTAATGCAATTGACCAACCCGCCATCTCTTTCCTTCAATAATGCCTTCGCTTCACTTCAAGACGTTATTTACCAATAAGAATAGGAAACCTTTTTGAATGGAAGAAGGCGAAGGGGTTTTCGAGCGCTGCGGTAATGAGCCGTAAGAAAGATGAGCAGAGCATTCCTTCCGCCGGCCTTGTTAGGAGTAGGGGAGCGTGGTGAGATAGATAGACGTCCAATCCTGCAGCAGCTAGTTGCTCGGCCTTAGTCTTGGGCTGATCTCACACTTCAATCAACCCCTTCGTACTTCGATCCAATCAATCGATCAAGAGGCAAATCTCTTTTGTTTGGGCCGGTAGCTAAAAGAAAGTCCTCGCTTTCTCTTGAACAAGGGGCATAGCTTTAGCTTCAATTGAACAAGCTCAACCTTGAAAAAGAAAGGTGGCGAAGAACCGTTGAACGCTTCAACTCGGCCACTGAAGAAGGCGAAGGCTGGGCGAGAGACTAGGCCAACTTACTGCCATGGTTGAAGCTTTAGGCTCCATAGACGGAATTATGTATTAGGTATTAGGGAGGAGAGGACACCACTCAGCACCTAAGGTGGGGTTCAATGCCTAACAAAAACGGCCATGATTGTGCATTTTCAGTCAACAAGGCCCTGGGCCTGGAGCCCATCTCCAGGGCATTCTTTTCTTCATCCAAAGACAGGCTCGAGCCCACTCAGCAATTTACTTTCCCCTTTCATCCCTCCACTTTCATGGTCCGTAACCATCTCTCTCCCGCTCCGCTGGTGTAGTTGCCGTTCCGGTGAGAAGTAGTGGCAGCCGCTCTAGAGTTCTTTCCCCTCGTTTCTCCTCCGACGAACAGTTCCGCTCATCGCGTCTCCGTCTTTGTCCGGTTCGTATCCTCAATTAGGTTTTCCGAAGACGAAATCGTGTTTCCATGGATTCCCTTCAATCCACCTACAGAAGCGAGGGAGAAGTGACGGAGGGGGAGGAGGAAGGAGTACGACCATCCCACGCCGCCGCACCGGACCAAAATGCTCCTCTCCTCCCTTCTCTGCCGCCACTTCCTCCGCCCGCTGCGATTGAGCTTGTTTCACTTCCCGAGCCCGACGCGGCTACGACGAACAAGCAGCAGGAAGTCGCGGTTGGGGCTTCCGCCTCCGAATCGCTGCCGGAGTCGGGCCCTACGAATTCCAACGATGCGGAGAAACCTTCGGTGAAGGACGAAGAAGAGGATGAGGCGGAGGGAGAGTACCGGCCGAGTAAGAAGCAGAAGCAGGAGGTGAAGGAAGAGGGAGAGGCAGAAGAGGAGCTGCATCAGCAACCGGAGGCGATGACGCCGGTGGAGGAAATTTCCAATGGAGATGGAGCCAACGGCGAGAACGGGAGCGTTGAGGAGGAGGCGAAAGCTCCTCCATCCGCTGCTGCAGCGGTTACCACGCAATCCGCCGCGAAGAAGAAGTCGAAGAAGAAGAGCAATAACAATGTCTGGTCGACGAAGTCCACTCGGAAGGGTAAGAAGAAGGCGAAGCCCAACCCGCAGAGCACTCCCACGGAGGACACCGTGTTGATCACTCCCGTCCCCAGATTCCCGGACAAGAACGATGATTCTCCGGAGATGACAATTTGCTTGTCCAAGGCGTACAAGGCTGAGAAAGTGGAGCTGGCCGAGGACAGGTTGAGTGCTGGGAGTGCCAAGGGTTACAGAATGGTGAGGGCAACTAGAGGTGTTTGTGAAGGTGCTTGGTACTTCGAGATCAAGGTTGAGAGTCTGGGAGAGACTGGGCACACGCGGCTTGGGTGGTCTACTGAGAAAGGGGACTTGCAGGCGCCGGTTGGCTATGATGGGAACAGTTTTGGGTATAGAGATATTGATGGTAGTAAGATTCACAAGGCATTGAGGGAGAAGTATGGTGAAGAAGGGTACAAAGAAGGGGATGTCATTGGGTTCTATATTAACTTGCCCGATGGAGGCTCGTATGCTCCTAAGCCGCCTCGTTTGGTTTGGTATAAAGGACAGAGGTATCTATGTGCTCCAGACGCCAAGGAGGATCCTCCTAAGATTGTGCCAGGTGGGTTTTTGTTCTGGACTTGTTTGTAATTGTTATTTTACATGCTGTTTATCTGTGATTATGGTATATGCATAGTAGAAGGCTTACTCTTATAGCCTGTAAGACATATGGTTGCTGTTTCAATGGTGTACTTCCATTCCCTTCCATCAATTACCACCAGATTAGGCCCAAAGAACAAGACTCAAGTACCTCCTTTTACGAGTTGGCTTTGTATCAAGACCAATGAGCTTCCCTAATATGTTTCCTAGATTGAATATTCTTAAATTTCCTTTTGCTTCTGTCTCCATTGGATGATTTAATTGGCAAACAGATTAAACGAAGTGCTCTATTTTTCTTTTCACAATCTTATTCCTTGAATTGCTCAGGAAAGCTTCTTTATTTAGATGTAGAGGCATCTGGCTGATTGCGAATATCATGTTGCAGACTGAAATGATGCTTTTCTATCTCTAATTGAAGGGTGTAACTTGACTGAAACTCTACTTTGTTGTTAGCAAGTTTTGTGCATGCTGAGGATGGGTCCTTTGAATCTTTGCTGTATGGTTCAGCACTCATTCTTCACTTACGTATACTGTTTCTCGTGGTGCAGGAAGTGAGATATCATTCTTCAAGAATGGCATATGTCAAGGGGTTGCATTCAAGGATTTATATGGTGGGCGCTACTACCCTGCTGCATCAATGTACACGCTTCCGAATCGACCAAATTGTGTTGTAAGATTTAATTTTGGCCCAGACTTCCATTTTCTCCCAGAGGATTTTGGTGGGCGTCCCATGCCAAGGCCCATGATTGAAATTCCTTATCATGGGTTTGATGCTCTTGTTGACAGTGGCACATCCAATGAGAAAAAACAATAGTACACAATCTCTTTGATGCTTCATATTGGTTTCTGGTTTCACTAGTTGACACTCTAGATATCATATTAGAAATGTCTTAACTAAATAGCTTATGTAATCTCAACATGTCTTGAAAGGCTATAGAAGAGCAATTTTCCTTGTGAACTATGAAGCAATTGGAATGGGGCCGGCTGATGACATTTGATTTCAAGATATTAGTTATTTTATTGTTTTTTTAAAACAAGTCTGAATACTTCTGATGAGTTTTATAATAGTTTTCAACTGTGATCAGGCAACTTATCAGATTATTCATGTCCTGTTTATATATGACGAGTTATGTACCACATAAGCTGTGTGTTTTTCCCCTTCAATATCAATATGCTTCTTTGTTTTCTGGAGTTTGCAAATCTTCCGTCTCACTTTCGTGTGAATATAGTTGCATCTTTCATGACACGTGACAAAATGAAATGCATATTTCCCTTTCCTCTACTGTTCTATGACTCCCTCGCTATGTTATGCTCTTGATTAAGAGCGAGATGGGTTTGCTCATCAGACCATACATATTTTGTTTATTAAAGGTAACAGTCGAGAACTGTTCATGTGGTTGGTTACTGAGCAAGTTGTATAGGCGAAGGACTATTGGATTTCATTTAACTAACTGGACTGAGCTATAGTAAAATGCAATGATTTTAGTGAACCCATTGTTCATGAAAAAAGAAATTTGACTGACTGTGTTTCCTTATTTCCTGATACATTTGTTCAACATCTTTGTCCACCTACATGGAACCATGTTAGTGGTTCATTTAGTAGGCCCATTCCCCCAGATACTAATTGTTTCTTGACCCTGGAGCTATCGGATGGGAGAGTCTAAACCTTCCTGAGAAGTCAAAGAATGGAGGCCTGATGTCTATTGTAAGGGAATTGTGAATTCTTCCTAAATATGGCGTCTTCTTGAGCTGATGTAGCATTCTTTTGGCATAAAGTTTCCTTAGCATCTGTGAAGTTCTTTCCTTCAACTTGAGAATGGCATAGAAGATGAGCCAATAAGCTGTGATGATGGCTACAACAGCAATGTTAATGCCAAGCACTCTTGTGAGATATGCTTCACCTTTCAGCTTCGAACCATCAGGTACTAGGGGATCTATCTCTCATTTCAATCATGTCATTTTTATATGCTCCCTGCATTTCATGTTATAGATGTAGTATATCTATAAAATAAGAATAGGCTTGTTTGACATATTTGAAATATTTTACTTCACTTTGAAGTACCTGTAATGCCCATGCAGCATAATTTAGGTAAGACATCGGGTACTGTCAGAAAACCTTAGGAAGATCCTGAAAAAGAAAAAGAAGAAAAACGGAAGTAACCTGCAGTCATCGCTATTATCCCCTGCAGATAACCAATGGATGAATGTGAATACGAGGCGAGAAACGCTGATCAAGTGGGCGATTGCATGTATTTGGTAGTACAGATTATAGGGCTTTAATTCTCACAATAAATATTTCAGCTCCAATGATGACTCCCATCAAGAAGTTGGAACTATTGAAGCTATATCCATCATGCTGCTCTCTAAAGCTGCTATACCACTTATCAGAAGTAGGTAGATGTAGACAAGCCGGGAAATTTCAGTTCGGAATTTCACCATGTCGTAGGGGATACTTGCTGTAGAGAGTGACATGAGAGCCAAGTACGGGAAGGAAGAGATGAAGTTTGACATTATGTAATTTCCAACCCCGTAATTTCCAATCATTCTTTCTTTAGAGAAATCCTGCATGGTGTAAGAAAGGATGTAAAGCAGGTAAAGGTTAGCAAAACTGTGTTAGCTCTATGTCTTTGCCATGATCCTTCGAATCTGTTCATTCACCTTCAATTCTTCAATGAACAAAGGAAAACTTTCAATGGACATATATGTCATAAATCCTGAAATAAATGCACCACAAGCTCCTCTTTCAAAGACTGCTGTCTGACTTCTTCCAATGTCGAAGAAAATGGTACCTACAGATATAGACAAGGCGATGTGTTTTAAGTCCTATTCTCACCCTATAGTATCCCCAACCTCTCCGCATATTGACTGAAGATCTCTTTGTCAATGTGAGAAGTTGCCTCCACCAATTAGCTGGTCTCTTAATTTTGCTTTTTATCACATTTCCTTTCTGCATAAAAGGATAAGAATGTTTATGTCACGGTATAAATGTTGTACGTCTGTACATAGAGTTCACATATCTTTTACGGGAGAGTGCATTTAAAGCTAAGTACATTTTCCTTCTATTTTTAGTTTCCTCAGCTTAGTTGTCTGTGTACTAGAAAGGATTACAGTTCTGAATGACCGATTGCAAGGTTAGCTATTCTATAAGGCTATGTCTTTCTCTCAACTTGGATGTAGATCTTTGTATAGTTGTAGGAATACTTATTGGTCGTGTTTGTTTTAGATTACTTAAGATCATTACTTGTTGGACAGCATGCCATTCTTCTTTGTTGATTCTAGGGAAACCGGGATATCACAAGCAAAGTCAATGGTGTTAGATTCAGAAAGTACTAGTTTGGAGTTCTTACAGTTGCTGACATTTGCTTAATCCTTGCTCTTTCCTTGGCTGCATAGTCTGATAGCCCGTATTTCTCGAGTAGCTTTGCCTTGATCTCTGCTGTGGGCATGTCTGTTGAATTCGGTGATGGTTATCCAATGTTCTATGATCCAGGAAAGCATAAACAATATGATTTAGAATCGTTAAGTAAGTGTGTTATTTTGGTTGCCATGGGGTATAATAACTTTACCAGTTCTCACTGCTTACCCTTGTGTTAAGTCTACTGCTTATATGTAAGTTTCTAAACATTTTGTCCAGTTCTATTCGGTGGTCGTTGCGAATTCACATCGTTGTGCTTGTTTCATGTTATACAGCTGTTATGAAACAGAAGAAAAGTCCTGCTCACTCAGCTGGCCGTATGTGGTGGTAATTGGTTTCTTTTAGCTAGAACTCGCAGAACACTGCCAATCATGTGAACTTAAAATGTCTGCACGAGGTAAATGCTGAGCATCATGATGTGATATATGGGGAAATATATTGTCAGGGGCACTTCCACTAATTCCCAATTGTTGTTTCTTCAGGTAAAGTGGTGTGAGTTTGAAGTATTACTGGGGCGTCCAGTGAATTGGAGAGAATATACCTTCTTGTTGATCAATTCTTCACGTTGCTTTTCTGGCGCGTAGTACAGCTTACACCAACTCTCCCAACAAGATGTCGCCGCAAGAAGAATGTTTGATTGATAAATGACTTGCTTCGTGATCTGACCTTTGTAGTCGGTAAGCGCTCCTGATTCGTGCAAATGAATGTGTCTATTTATCCGTCTTTTGACTTTGTGACTGGTAACTTATTCTATTGTGCTGATTAGTCTTTACAATTACAAGCGTTGAATGATTACAATTTACATGAACCTAGTAACCCTCTTCATCGTGGAATAGATAATGTTATTTACTCATACATCCAAATTCACTAATTAGACCCAACAAAGAATTCAGATTAGCATAAATCTCAACAGATTTAGGGTGTGATGTGTCTCCGGCAGCAAAAGAGTGAACACGACCCCCTAGAATGATCCAACTAATTCCTGGAGGCTTCTTCAAACCCTTCTCTTTCAACAATGCTCTTACATCCCTAACCTCAGACCAAACCCCTGCTGCAGCATATATGTTGGCCAGCAAAACATAGTTTCCTGGATTATTTGGCTCCAAATCGATTAGCTTACCAAAAACCAATGTTGCCATTTCAGGGTCACAATGAATCTACAGCCAATCAGTAGACTTCTTCAAATCGATGCATCAGGTTCCACCAGCATGGAATTGATAAACTCTCTAGCTTCTTGTAAGAACCCACCACGAACAAGTAGATCAACTATGCACCCGTAATGAGCAAGTTGGGGAGTTATTTTCATGCCGCGAACCATGAAACTGAAAATCTGCAGGCCTTTTCTTATTAAAACACCATGGCGGCAGGCAGACAGTATGGATAAGAATGTCACGCCATTAGGCTGGAATCCTTCTTCCAACATATCCATGAAGGCTTGGATGGCATCAGCAGAGGAGCCATTTGTGGCATATCCACTGATCATGGCGTTCCATGATATGGTATTCCTCTCCTGCAGAGTTCTGAAGATGTTTTCAGCACCCTGTTCGCTGCCGCTTCGTGCATACATTGTGATGAAAGCATTCACCAGAGAGAGGTCGAATTCGAGAGGGGAGAATCTGCGGGCTGCATATGCTTGAATTTGCTGTCCACGAGGCAAATTGGCAAGGTCAGTACATGCCGAGAGAACGTTGATAATGGTGATGGAGTTCGGCTCCACCTCAGTGATCATACTTAGTGATAGAGCCTCATCAGTTTGGTTCTTTTTCACATAGGCAGAAATCATAGCGTTCCAAGAGATCAGGTCTCTACGTGAACAGACCTCGAATAGATTCCTCGCTGTTTCTTCATCGCCACAAATCATGTTCGTATCAGCAAGAGCAGTATTCTGTAATATCATTCACACCAAGTTTAATCACTAATCCATGGATGCAACGCCCGACATTGAGATAAGTTTCATCCCCACAACAAGAAAGCAGAGACACCATTGTGTAAGAGTTTGGCATGATTTCTGATTGTTGCATCATCATCGCTCCGAAGAGCTCCCAAGCTTTATCCTTGCAATTGCTGCTTGCCAATGCAGAAATCAAATAGTTATATGATACAACATCGACCTCTTCCATGTCAGAGAAGACTTTCTTTGCTGCTTCTATACGAAATAGGTCCACGTACATGCTTAACAATGCATTTCCTACCGCAACATCCATCCTGATCCCAAGCTTCAACGCATGGTAGGGAAAAGGTAGGTGATAAAAAAGGCTGAAAAGATGAAAGATGGAAAGAAAGGTGATGAATGGAGAGAGAGAGAAAGGAACCAGTGTTTGATATTGGAATTTAGAGAGAGGGCTGATTAGCCATTTTCATAGGTCGCAAGAGAAGTCCTGCTCTGCTGCTTTCTTCTAGCTAGAACTTTTAGAACATTGCTTATCATCATGAGAACTTACAATATGGCAAGGTAACCACTAGAACACGATTTTCTGTGTATCGTTCCAATTTTATAGGATGTCACAACTAAGCATGATGACATGATATACATATGCATATGGGTGGAAATATGTGGTGAGGGGCACTTCCACTAATTGCCCAATTGTTTGTTTCTTCTTAGGTGGGTTGAGTACAGCGAGCCTAGTGGATTGGAGAGAAGAGACCTTCTTGAGAAGACAAAGAATGAATGACTTGTTGATGCCTCTTGGAAGGGAAGCGCGAAGAACTCGAAATCCTAAAAGATGGCCTTTTCTTCTTTAGATGATGCAGAGTTCGCTTGGTGTAAATCTCCCTCAGCAGAGGTGAAGACCTCTCTTTTAACTTGAGGATAGCATAAAAGGCAAGTCTGAAAGCTATCAGGATAACAACAACTGCAGCCAAGTCCCACCACTTCGAATATCCAATGTTGACTCCCAGCACTGTAGTCAGAAAGACTTCACCTTTCAGCTTTGGCCCACCAGGTATTAAAGCTTCAAACTCCTGCCCAATCATGTCATTCTTGTATGCTCCCTGCATCATTCTCAGTATCATATTTCCAGCTCTTGTATTCACAGTAGAAAAAGAACAAGTATCATGTATGTGCTTGCTTGGAGAATGATGTATGATTCCCGGTTCCATAAGAAGAACTTAGGAAGAAATCTTTCTTTACCTGTAGTCCCCATACAGCAAAGTTGACGTACGAGATTGGGTAACGCCACAGAACCTTAGGAAGATCAGGCAGGAAACGGAAGAAGCCCGAAGTCATCATTAGGATCCCCTGCACAGAGAAAAGGAACGTAGAATTAGAAAAATCCACACTTTGAGAGAATGTGAGTGAGTGAGTGAGTGTGCGTGTGAGAAAGAGATGGTTGTTCTTTCTTACGATATAGCAGGCTCCAATAATGATACCCATTAAGTAGTTGGGAACAAGTGAAGCTATGGTCATCATGCAGCTCTCAACAGCTGCTATACAGCTTAGAAGGTCGAGAAAGATGAACACAAATCCTGAAAACCCAGCTCTAGATTTCACCATGTAATAGGTAATACTCGACGTGGAGAGTGACATAACTATCAAGTAAGGGAATGAAGAGAGGAAGTTTGATAGAATGTACACCCCTACTCCATAGTGCCTGTTTAGTCTTTCTTCATGGAAAACCTGCATATGAGCGAGCATTAAAAGGTTAGTAAATAAGTCTCCATGGATCTTTACAATAAGATCTTAGTAATAGTACCTTCAATTCCTCAATGAAGGAAGGAAAGCCTCCAATTGACATGAATGTCATGAAGCCTGAAATGAATCCTGCATAGGCTCCTCTTGCAAAGACTGAACCACTTGTTCCAACATCGAAAAAGATGGTACCGACACATACAGACAAGACTATATAGATTCCTATCCTCACCCAGTAGTAACCCAAATCTCTCCTCATGTTCACATGAGATCTTTGTGTCAATGTGCAGAGTTGCTTTGACCAATTAGCTTGCCTTTTCAGTTTTCTTTTAATTGAATTTCCTTTCTGCAGAAACCACAACTATGTTGAATTATCTATATAAACCATGCTTTCCTCTACTGTGCTGCTCTCTCAAATAAGATGCATTTACTTGCTTGAAAAGTTGTGAATTGTTTCCTTCTAGTTTGAACAGGTGATTGATTGATTTATGTTTAAGGTACTATTGAAATTGATTTGTACATGTAATTGCAGTCAGATTGCTTTCACAAAGGCCTCGTCTGTGTTCTTTTTTCCTTCTTTTGTATGTCTTGTAGAATATGAGTAAAGACGCAGTTGAACTTAGGTAGCAGAATATACTATTAGAGGGGAATTAATGTGCCAGATGCAGAAGAAAATAAAATTTGAAGTGCTTACAATAGCCAGGATTTCCTTTATTCTTTCTTTTTCCCTGGCTGCATAGTTGGATGGCTTGTATTGCTTGATTAGCATTGCCTTGATCTCTCCTGTGGGTAGGTATGTTGAAGATTCCAAGGGTTTACCCATGTCCTAGAGTCCAGGAAGTAAAAAAAACAAAAAACAAAAAAGCAGTTAAATATCTTAAAACTAGAAGTCTGTAACAATGAGAAAGATGTCACAAGTAAACAGTAGCATATACTAAAAACAGTCTGCAGAGTTGGATTTCAAACTGCTTTGGCTGTATTGAATGAGAAGGAATGTAATGAAAGGAAGCTAGTGTATCTCAGAAATTTGGGAAGAAAAGCATTGCGAGATTGAATCCTCCCTATTAGTTTTACATACCTGTTTAGATCCCATCAAAGGAAGTTTGATCTGGTCGAAGTCTGAGTTAATGCAGCGTAGGAAATGATCAGAAGGATTTCGCCTTATGAGACAAGGGAATCCAGCTTGAGCAAAGAACTACATTATTGTACGCTTCAGGTTAGAATGTATCCCAAGAAAATATAAAAACGATTGAAGTTATATTACGGAGAGAACCATGGAAAAAAATGTTGCATTATATGTAGTCATACCTCTACTGCCATTTTTGCTTCTCCAGAGTAGACAGTCTCACCACCAGATAACAAGCAAAGGTCATCGAAAAGTGCAAAAACTTCACTGCTTGGCTGGTGTATCGAAGATATGATGGTTCTTCCATCTTTAGCAATGTTTCTGAGAGTTTGAACCACAAAGAAAGCCGAGGCACTGTCTAGGCCAGTGGTAGGTTCGTCTAGAAATAGAAGGTGAGGCTTAGTGAGGATTTCAAGTGCAATGCTTAGTCTTTTCTTCTCCCCACCACTTATGCCCCTTAAATGCCAGTTCCCGATTGATCGATCTGCACAATCTTGGAGACCCATTTCCGCTATAGTTCCCTCTGCAATGTCATCAATTTCTTCTTTCGTCATTGTGCTTGGGAGTCTCAAGTGAGCAGAGTATTTTATGGTTTCTCTCACAGTGAGAGTCCCGAGCAGTGTATTTTCTTGTCTCACATAACCCTGAAAAACCATAAGCATGAGCATTACATCAAACTAGAACTAACTTAAGTGTTCCTTAAGGATTGGTATTCTTGAGGAAATATAGAGCCATCACCTCATATTAGGAATGATAATCACTTTGTTTCAGTTTTAAGATGTATTAGGTGGATAAACCACTAGCTTGAGACTAGTTACACACTTATAAATTAGTATCTTCCAGAAAACAATTATCTGGATGGGCTACTCTATCTTCAGGAACCAGATTCCTATATAGCAATCTGTGTTGAAGATGATTTAAAAACAAAAAAATTCAGGCTTTACATTTTTCTTCTTAAATTTCTCTCTAGACATACGAAAAGTTCCTGAAAAGCAACTTACAACACCACCATAGTTGAGTTTCTTCTTCTTTCCATTGAGTAGGATATTCCCAGTCATCACCACATTTCCTGGCAGCCTACCTGCATCACATCAAGAGTTGCACGGTGAAGTTCTCAACTTTAAAAGCTATGTTTTCTTCCAATCCAATGTCCCATCTCTTGCATTGAGGGTTTGTGTACAACAAGTCTACATGCTACTATGGTATACTATAAGCTTTGCATTATTGTTAAAGGTTACTTTCCTAGCAGTGCATAGATCTACTCTCCCCTCCCATATGTCTAGAACATTTGCTTCAAATATGTCTCATTGTACGGTTAAGATTCGTGCCTTCGAAGCCATTCAATCACCTAAGATGAATCAGTGACCTATTGCAGTTTAGGAGTTGCAGTCATGTGACAGAAAAGATCCAGGTTAGTGGTTAGCTGCAGATCTCCTTTGAAAAATCCGTAGGGAGGCTAAGTATGAATGGTTCTGATAATTTACTAATTTAGTCACATTAGGTTAGAAGCATATGTGGCTAGTCTAGTTAAGTCATTGGGAAGTTCAATTTTCAATGGATGAGTAGAATGGGATTGGAATTGATGAAACCTCAGTTACTCCCCACTAAGCCAACTTCTGTTCCAAAAAATATCCTTCTCTCCGGTAAAGGAAAGCTAGAGCCACTTAAAAAGGACCGGTGATGGTCCCTTCGGCGACATTCGACAAAAAGGACAAATGATGCACTTCTTTGAAGAAGGTTAAAAGCGGCCAACTAACTTTCTGGCCTGTAAACCCCACCCTTAGTCCTAAGTAAGGAATTCCAGCAGTTAGTTCTTCAATACAGAATTCAGGCCCCAATTTTCTAGCATCACTATTCACCTTTCATTTGGTGTAATGTAAGCCATCAATTATCTTGGTCACTACCTGCCACACACTTGGGATAGAGGAACACAAACATGCTATGACTTGGTAACTTAGCGGAATTGACAGCTCGAGTAAAGGAGGAGAGGAAAAGAGACATAAACCTATGTTGCCAGAAATAAGTTCTCAACGGAAGGAACTTTTTTCTCTCCATCTTTTGTGTCATTTGTTCTGGTGGTAGTAAATGCTACTAAGATATTATAACACTTTTGACCCTACACATTTCCTTGTATTGACCCCGTTGCCTGTCTTAAGTTTCAGACAAGAACCCAAGTTGTGAATGAAGGAAAGAGATCACACCAACGAATACCCACCATGAAATGAAAAGATGATTATGGATTGTGAATGCATACTTTGACTGCTAACTTGTGTGTGAACTTGTCAGGAAACTGTTTATGATGTTTCACCACTAACTTTGATGCCCATGTATTTCGCATATTCAGAAATGCATTCTGGAGAAAGAAGGCAAAAAAAGAGCGTGGTAAAAAAACCTGCTAATGCATCAAGAAGAGTTGTTTTCCCGGACCCAGATGGACCCATGACGGCCTTGATCTTCCCAGGCTCAGCATAGCCATTGAGCCTATCAAGCAATCTCCTTGTTGGTCCATCACCAAAGTTTGGAAGCACGACACTTAAATCTTCCCACACAATGTAAGCAGCCTCTGCTGCTACATCTTCAACTTCCTTTGAGTCGCCACCCTCAGTAGCATGGCAAGTTCCAGCAAGGTGATCATCACCATCACCAGAGGAAATTTGCTCAATCTCCATTGCGTCCAGCAACACAATTATGTGGAAGTTTGGAAGTGAAGGAAGAAGTTACAGAAGAGAACTCAGAAGAGAGGGAGAAAAACCAGGTAACAAATGCTCATTTCCTTTAACTACATCTTTATAGGCTTGAATCAACCTTTGTCTGTTTACTGGTGGCATAAGTTACTGCAGGGGCAATAACTACTCCCCAACAAACCATAGCAAGAAAAGGGCACGACTCATGAGTTATTGAGTTCGAGTCTGTCTATATGTGGGAAGATAAATAATGATGTTTTCTGCTAGCTTAGCATTGGCCGGAGCAGAAACAGTGAACTGTATGAAAAAGGAAGTTGAGCTCAATAACTGAGGTTCAGCCACTAGACCTACCATCCATTCCTCTCTCATAAATTTTAGTGGCAGATAGAGGAAAGAGAGAAAAGATAGAAAGGGTGAGAGCTTCGAGGAGGAAGAAAGAAAGAAAATGCTATGATGAGGGCTTATTCATACTTTGTTCTTAGACCATTTTTTCCCACACACTTGTCATGTGATGTGTATACCAGCAACCATGCATAGAGATTGCTTTCTCACTCCATATTAATAGAAATGTCTATGAACCAAGCTATCTTTTCTTCTAGAATTGCAGGTTCTTCTGCTTGTTCTTCCTTGTGAAGCAGGTGGTCACAGAAACCAGGACTTAAATGGAACCAATATACTCTGATGCATGCACATGGAAACACATGGGACCTGCTACCAAGCTGGTACGCTTTCGATACTTGTTTCGTTACAGTTTATCAATGTGTATTATCGTAAGTTCTTGAATAGTTAGCCTCGCTGGTTCACTCTCTGATACGATCTCGCAAACACTGGTTATATCATATGATCCAGCTACACAATACTTGTCAGTTGTCACCATTTCCATTAGCATTCATCCCACTTTATTATGTTATTAACTGGTGGGGTTAACATTGAAATAATGGCCTCTAACTTCGGTTACTGATGTAACTTCGTTGTCCCTTTCTAATGAAACTGTAGGTTTTGCAGTCCTCTCTCGTGCAGTACTGACAGCTTGAGATTTGCAGCAGCTCCCTAGCTATGACATCTGGGCTTAGGCAATAAATGAAAGTCCAAAGGTAAGGCCCCCCCACTACTTCATGAATTGGTTCTGGCAGTTTTCTTATTGAAAAGGAGCCATTATGGCTGGTTGTTACATCCTGATGAAAATGCCTTTATTACTTCTGATTGATGACTTTGGTATCAATGTTTTGAACTTTATCAAGCACACTAACATTTACTCTCTACTTTCAGGTCGGTGGATGAGAATTCTTTTTTGCATTATGAGTCTGGTTATAAAGATGACAAGTCTTTTTCATATCAAAGTGTACAAATCCTGAGCACGATGAGCTGCTGGGCTCCCGGCTCCCCTAGCAATTCGGAAATGGCAACAGGATTCGGACGGTGCAGATATCTCAAGATAACTGAAAGGTACAAATTTTCTTAACACAAATAAAGAGCATGACATTTTTAATAATGGTTCAAAGTTAGAACTAGCTACACTAAAGTATGCTTTATCATATGTATTGAAACCAAAAAACAGATGGAATAATTTTCAATTAAAATAGTTCGGGATAGGTCAGGCCGAACTGTGTTGCATGTGTCAATCAAATGAGTAGGGATCAAGGTTGTCAATCGTGGATCGACCCACTTTCACCCTGATCCGGTGAGAAAAACGGGTCGTACGCACCCGTCGAGTCAACCGTTACAAGGTACCGGGTTGGAGGTCAAATTGTGTTTTTTTTTTTGTTGCTTCTATTTTCCGATTTTAGCTCAATTTTTGGAATTCTAAGTTGAACATTTGAATATTGATATTATATAAGTGTGTGAAACAGCGTTTGCAAAATAGTAAACTGCTTGACATTGCTGAAACATAATAATATGGCAGATGCATCCATCTGCAGTATTAGAAAACAGCATCGGGACCCAAGAAAAACCTAATGATCAGAATGATCGACCACACCTCTCATCTTATTTTCTAAGAGTACACACGATGAGCATTGTCCTGCTTAGATAGAGTACACAAAAACCTGACATCGAAGTACATGAAAAGCTCTTTTACTAAACAGAAAATGACTGACATCAAACTAAAATTTGGACGGCAAGAACCAGACAGGGAATGGAGAGATGAATTGAGGGTTATTATGAACTGATCTCAGATCGTATAACGGCTGCACGCTGCCGGTGGAGAGGCTGAAAATCCCCATGTCAGAACCCCCGAGCAGCTTCTTGTAATGGTAGTCAAGCATATCGTCCGTGAAATAGATGGAATTCGGCACAATCTCGGGGTGATCTCGAGCAGAGACGAAGGTTGAAGTGTTAAATCCCAGGAAGAGAGCATACTCGCCAATGCTTCTAACCTCATCCCATTTCTTTGTCTTCTCGTTCAGCTTGAAAACTTTGAACCGAATCGTCCATTGGACCCTCCTATCTAAACTCACCTCGGGATCAACTCGACGTTCGTCGTCTGAGTCCTCATCAGGAGCGATTCTATCGGCTTCATCATCCTCCACGTCGTGAGGAATTGGAAAAAGATGAACATGATGGTTCACATCCTGGCCCGCGTCCTCGTGCTGGTGCACATCCTCGTCCTCGGGGTACCTTATATTTCTAGTCACCATCATCAATTCATCTCCCGTTGGACCCACCGATAGGTAGTAATTCTCGGACAAGTCAGTGGTTTTTTTGCGGTCAATCAACAGTCGGAGTCTTGGATGACCTCCTGCGATGGAGACATAGCAAACGAAAAGCCTGAACAAGTTGTCCAAGACGTAGAATTGACCCCTCCAGAACACAACATCCGTAAAAGCAATTGGGCGCAGCCCCAGGCGAGGAATCAACGTCCATGTTGCCTCCTCAACCCTCGGTCTGCAAAACGCTAGCCTCTCATCATCAAGGCCGCGGCGTATAACCATCACAAGAAAGTCCTTCTCCGCAGCAGCAGGGTCAGCCGAGAGAGCCATCTTGGTTATGTATCCAGACTCAAAGGACTTCTTCCCCTTGGCTCTCTTGCCGCCAGAACCATCGAGCCACAAGTACTCATGGCCGATTTTCTCCGGCCGGAACTTCAACACATCAGGAAAACTCGTGATGGGGGGCAGCGCGATCTGATCTCCGGTCAGAGGGTTGAGCAAGAACATCAATGGTGTCCTCTGCAGAGTAAGCACCCAACCGAAAGCAGAGCCGCGGCAGGTCGTTTTGTCTAGGCCTTGTGGCAACTCGATGTGGTGAAATTTTTGCTCGGCCACATCGAAAAACCGCCTACAGCTATCGCTGCCTTTACATCCCTCGGCCGCCATCATACTATTACCCTCGCCGCTGCAATACGGCAGCATCAGCCACGGCAAGGATTGCCTAAACCTCCGACCACGATCCGAATTTAGGGTTCGTCTCCACGACTTGCAAGTGGCACGAAATCGGATAGCATCCTTCAACTTGAACAGCCGTTGATCGACCATACAGAGGAGCTCCACCGGCAGTTCAGACCAATTGTTGGAATCCGCCATCGGCGGTTCTTATTATTATTCGATTAATTTGGCCAAAGACAGTTCGCCTCCCGCTGCTATTAATTGATTTCTGAATCAAAGATTGGGTTTTTTTCCAATGGGACTCCTAAACAAAATAGAGATTCCGTGGATCTCTTCCTTACCCTGGTCGGAGTCGGATTTCCCACTTCGGAACAAGGTAGGACAGAGGGAGGCCGGAAACAGAGAGAAACAGATCTGATAGATAAACAAGCTAACGAAACAGAGGCTTACCACTGCGGGATCTCAGCTCGCCGCCGGCGAGCCATCCCGCTGCTATTTATTGATTTCTACATCAAGGATTGGATTTTTCCAATCGGACTCAAAAGCTTTTGTGTTTAGTACAAAACGGTATCAAATTTTAATTTATAACAAAACAATAACATATATTTAAGTGAATATCAAAACGGTTATTTCATCGTTCTCCATCCAAAAATATGTTAATTTGATCTAATCAGTTGTCCAATCAGCATCCATGTCATCGAACAAAATTATTTAAAAAAACTAAACCAATAAAAAGCTTGTAACCAACCCAATTACCCAACACCCCAATCCAACCCAACCCATCTCATGATCCCTCTTTCTCCTCTCCCTCTCTACCACCATCTCCAAATAAGCATGGTCCATGAAATCGTATCGGGTATCGTACCGGAAAAGTCAAAGGTATGATATTTTATGATAAAATCGTGATCTTACCGTAGTTGAATCGTTAGACCGTTAAATACCGCCTACTAATTTAGCTTTCAATACAGGTTATTTTGTGGTTGAACTGTCGGTACGGTAGGGTTTCATGGACCATGCAAATAAGTTACCTTTTTCAGTCCTTAGGTCGACGAGTTGGGCCTTGCTTGGCCGCCTTGACCGGCAGGCTTAATAATAGATGTACGAGTGTGTGGGCCTGAGTAGGCACTTGAGTCAGGCCAACATTAACCAGCCCGAGGCCCATTGTTTAGTACATTCTTCTAATCCTTATTACTTTTTTTCTTTTTTTGGTAAAATAATCCTTATTACTCTTATCAAATGAGATTCGACGAATCCGATGACATCATGGTTCGTCCAATATCTCGGATCTGAATCGTTAAAAAATATTCATTGTTGCGAGAAAGAAAGGTGAAGAAGAAGCTAACTTTTACAAGGCTAGTTATTGGGATACAGAAGAAGATAAACCGTGTAATTTTTACAAATCTCTTTCACTCCTTGATCTAGCCATTGCTTGCTGCTACCAATTCACCTCACTTCCAAAGAATATTACATCAACTCTCAGTAAAAAGAGTCCCAGGACTCAAGTTTTCACCTTATGACCTGTTTTTCACTGTAATGAGAATCACTACCAGTAAAAAAAATAGCTACCACCCCTCATTACAACACCAAATGACCAACTCAACAGTGAAAAAGTTATCTGTGTGTATATAATCATTATATATCTCTTCAATTATGCTTATATATTATATGTGGCTTTTTCTTTTTTCTTTTGTTCTAGTGGAGTGGGGAGTTGAGGCCTTCTTGGGAGGACAAGGAGTTGTGCCTCCTGGAACCAATGGAGGGCATCTTCCTGAAAGAAGGCCTCTTCTGCAGCCGTTGCAGGGTCCTCTTCGAGTAAGCGTCCTTCACCAAAGGCAGGGCCTGCTCCTTCAGCTTCAGGACCACGTAGAACAGGATCCGGTAGAAGATCAAGATGACGAAGATGATCGAGAGGTCGAACCACTTGGAACGGTTCAACGAGACCCCGAATATGTTGGTGATGATGAATTCTCCCGTGAGCTTGGGGTCACCGGGCACCAATGGCTCGAATTCCTCCCCTATGAAGTCGTTCTTGTACGCGCCCTGCAGAATGGGGTTAAAGGCTCAGAACGGTTTGGAATAGGTGGTGAAATGTAGGATTTTGCAGTTAGTTACACTACCTGAAGTCCCCAAGCGCCATAGTTGATGTAAGAAACCGGGTAACGCCAGAATATCTTGGGGAGATCGGGCAGCAACCGGAAGAAACCAGATGTCATCATCATGATCCCCTGCCACAATGAAAAAAGGTTTGATGTT